TCCGGAGACCACCCTCCTAACCACTTGTTGTGCCAACTCTACTCTCATGGGTCATCCTTTCCCTCTGCACTGTGTCCTTGCAGGCACTGCAGCCTTGATACTGGGCCTTGTCCACTTGAAACTGTAGACCGGCCTATCCCAGTTCTTTGTATCCCAGCAGTGCCCTTCTTGGAGCAGGATGCAGGGGCTGCTAAGTGAAAGATGCCCATAGGGCAGTTCTGTTCCAGGGACAGCACTGTCTCTGCAAGTCACATTAAGGCCTGGACAACAAGTTTAGAAGACTGTGAATTACTCCAAGTAGAAAATGAGAGAATATCCTTATAGGAAAATTGGATTTTCTTGTCTGCCCCTCTCCCTCCCTTTCAGTGTCTATTTTCCTGGAAAGGGTGCGCAGAAAGAGATTTGCCTCCTCAGTAAGAGTTCTGAAAACTGTTCCTTAGTAATAAAAGCTAATTTTATATATAGGAGTTTGATATAGATCTAAAGATTGTTAGTGAAAGAGATCAGGGAAGAGCTAGCCAAGGATACTGGTTTGGTTTTTCTTTTTATATCAAAATGTTTTCTGTTGACAGGATTCTATCTTGGACATTAAAGTACCAATATTTAAAGGACCTGGAGAGATGCCCGAAATCCGATCCTACATGGAAGAGTTCCCATTCCCATTCTATATCATTCTTCGCGATGTGAATGCGCTCCCCGAGACGCTCAGCGATGCTCTGAGACAGTGGTTTGAGTTGGTGGCAGCCTCCGACCACGCGTAGGGAAGGAACACAGTAAACCATGGTCAGACCGTGGTACCTCGGGCCAGGTGCTCCCTCTTTTGGACAAGTGCTTCTGAACTCACAGCTCTAAAATGTTTTTATCTTAGATCTGATTTATAAAAATTCACCTAATAGCTACAGAAAGTTTGTATTACAGTGTACATTTTAGTTTACAATGTGCTTTCAGAGCTAGAGAAAGCCTGGGGCTCCCTGCTTTGCCTGGGCTCCAGCTGTCACAAACCTAGGGCAGCGAAGGAACAGCAGTAGCAGGTGTCTGGTCTTGGAAGGCCCGGCCTACGAGGAGGCCTGGGCCCGGCTGCCTTTTCCCCTCACAGGAGCTCTGGACACGTACCTGGAGAAGCGGCTAGGAGAGAATAAGACTGTCCTAGGCCTTTGGACAAAGGACTAAAGGCAGCTGCCCTTTTAACCCTGCTTTTTAAGTCTCCACCTTGCCAAGCCCACAGTGTGTATCCATATGCTGTCAAGAGACTGAATAGCCGCTTTCTAGAGTCCCAAGTGTGTGTGTTTTTTCATTGCGCTTCAGGTGATGGTAACTGCCTTTTCTTTGAGGATAGGAAGGTTGGGGTATATGTGGTCTTACAAAGCAACCAGATGTCATGGGAGCCCAGGTAATAGGAAAAATGACCCCTGGATGGTATAAAAATGAAGTGGTTTTTCTGTGTCGTCCTTCACATTTGCTGCTTCAGGAGACTATGCAATGATGGAAAGCTGATTTTTCCTTTGGTTATTTCATTCTTTCTGTGCCACAGTCCCTGCTGTTGTATTTTTTTTTTTTTTTCTTAACAATTAAGGGGAAGAATCATTCCTCCACTGCTTTTAAGCTGGACTGAGCCAGTCCCATTCTGGAAAAGAAATGCTGTGTTTAGAAAAACTAAGCAGCTACATTTTTTTTTTCCCCAGTCAAAATACATCAATGGTTTTTAGATGGTTTTTACTTGGTCAGAAAGCACTGCTTGAATACTTGAGATTGTGTGCTGTGTTCTATTTGTCAGAATGTTCTTTTGTAGACAACATGCCATGATGTAATTGTCTATCTCCACATCTGTTTTCAAGTTACACTGTGAAGTTTGCCACACTTTTGAGGTGGTCATCAAAGACACAGATTGCTTGTTCTTTAACCAAGTGTCCCTAAAGCATGTACCTAAGGTTATATCATTTTTTATTCTAAAAAGCTATGCAGGTTATATTCTGATTATTAAACGTATACCACTGTTGATAGAATTTGTGAGCATTCTTAATGGAACATGACAGGTGTATAAAAGATATGCTAGGGGAACGATCTTGTCTGCTCCATCAGTCGGCTATCCCTGGCTTACGCTGTGCTGCCAGGGCCTACACAAGTTCAGTGGCTTACTGCCATAAGGGTTTCTCATTTGTGTCTTACATCCACAGTGGGTGAGCTGCCGCATGCTGGCCTGGCGGCAGAGGAAAGAGTAAGTTGGTGAAAAACACAATGACTCGTAAAGATTTTGCTCCAGATGACATGTTTGTTCCACTCATTTCATTAGTCGTAGCCCTCTGATGGGTTGGGTAGGGAAAGACACCACCATTCTGACCAGGATGTGATCTATCATCTACCTTTGAAATTGTACCATGTAAGCTGGAGCTTCCCAGCTGGTACCCAAAAATCCCCTTTTCAGCTTGTGCTGTGATGGGAAAAGGGTTGGGAAGCATGGAAGCAGTCCCAGGAGACCTAGGAGGAACTGTGCTAGGGGTGGGGTAAGAAGCAGGACACACCTGAGTCACGAATGGAGTCACTTAAGGGTAGGCTTGCTCTCCTTTGGAGCTCAAACTCTAGAGCTGCCTTACTTTGTCTTCATCCAAACACCAATCTTGTCCGGTCTTTTAGACATTTATTTTATCCTGTCTTCCCTTCCGCTCTGCTTGTGCTGCAGCTGGAGCGTTTTTAATCTGTAGTCTGGACTGCTTTGGTGGTATCCTAGACAAGTCACTTTAGAGCTCCCTCTTGTGAAGAGATCCCTATGGTGAAGAAGGTTATTACTCTCCTGTCCCTTCTCTCCCAGAATCCCCATACCACTAGCTGATCTGGTCACAGCAAACCAGAGGTCCTAGAATCTACCAGTGTTCTATATATTCTTTGGAATTTTCTTACCTAATGTGCCCTTCTGGAAACACCTACCTAGTAGATAAGCCCTCAGATATGTTTCCCTGTCTTAGGTCTTCCTGCCCAAAGTGGGAGCCTGACTCATGACAGTGTTACTGTGTCTAACATGAGTGTTTCTGGATGGGAAGAACTAGTATAAAAATCTATAAATTAACGTGAAAAGACAACACTATCAATTTTAATAATGATCTTATGATGATTTGGAGGGAAAGGATACAAAAAGATTCTCAAACTACAGGGTGTTAGTCCTGCCAAAGTCTTACATGAAATAATCCCGAACAATTTGTTCAGACACTAAAAAAATTTACCATATGGGCATCAAAGCCCAAGAAGGATTTAATGGTGTCAAAATTATAGTTTAGCAATTGGAAAAAAGAGAGCCATCCACATCAAGCCATAAAGCAAACTAGGTGGAATAAATACTTAAAAAAGTTAACAATGAAGACATAATGTAGAATTGCAAAGCTCTAAAGGGGAGAAAATGAAATTGAAAAGCCTCAAAAGAAAAATACATGACTATATAGAGACTTCTTAAAGTTATATAAACAAATTTTTTAAAGAACAGGCAAACAAGCCATATAAATTTAGTATAAAAACCTTGATCACCATAAATGGACCAGTGATGACAATTCATAAAATAAGTGGCAAGGGATATTTCACTAATTTTTATAAGAAGAAAATGAATTGCTATTGCCAATTAGACAAAACTTCAAAAAGTAGTCATAGTTAGCATCACCCATACAATGCCTGGTAATGTTCAAGAAAGCTAGGCATTGGAGTACATGTGGCAGGTCCTGTTTTCAGTGCATCACATACAATGCAACTCTGAGGTAGATCCCGTTTCACTTTACAGATGAGGAAGGAGGCCAGGAGAGATGAAGTTGCCAAAAGAACACAGTTAGGAAAAGGGAGCACCAAAGGATTCCAGCAAGTGAGGCAATCAGGTAAATGCTCAGTAAATGGGTAACCAAATGAACATTTTTGACTGTATTTTAATTCAGAACCATTCTATTTGACAAAATATAGCAAAGATTCAGCAACCCTACTTGCATAACTTAAGGGCATGTGTGTGTTGGGAAGATAAAACAATAGGAAATAAAAGCTTAAGTTGTAGGGACATTCAGTTCCTCATTCTTAGTGATACAAAATTGTTATAACTCCAATGGAGCAGCCATTTAAAACATCATAAGAATATGTGAAAATTAATAAAGGGAGACTTCACTGAAGTAGAGTCGGGAGGCTAGAAAGGAAAGCTGGGCCACTCAATGTCACTCCCAGGAAGAATGGTCAATAACAGACTCCCAACAGAAGCACCAATTATAGACCCCAACAGAAGGCCAGCAGGAAAGAAAGAATCAATCATCAGTTACAGGACCCAAGGGGGTAAAAGATGGGAGAGGCGCAGTGTGCAAGAAATCAACTACCCTTGCAACTCCGTGAAAAATCTTGCTTTTTCCCCAGTGGACTTTTCATAACGACCCCTCTCAACTTCCATCTCTGTAAAATAAGTTCTTGTCCTTTATTGGACTTGCCGACAGTTTTGCCATAGCTTGCATGTCCCCAAATGCAATTCTCTATTCCCAAATAGACCCACTTTTGCTGATAAAATAACCTGACATTTAAGATGAACATAACCAATGGCAACCATGGAAGATGCCACCATGGGGAAAATGGTTGCAAACAGAAAAGACCAGGATGAAAACAAAAGACGAACAGGACACAAACATTAAAATTAAAGTTAACATTTAAATTTTTATTTCTAACTACACATTTAAAAAGCCAACAGGAATACACAAATAATTTCACCCCTCACAAAGCTAACCACAGTGTCAGGAACTGTGCCAGTTGCCTTACCACTCCTCCTATCACAGCTTTTTGTGACGCAAGAACTGCTATCCCCTCGCACCCCTAAGAAAATATTTTCTAGGATAAAATTGCCCAAGGCTTTATAGCTCATTACTGGTTCCAACCAGACTGCGGGGGATTTGGCAGCCAAGTGTAAGCCGCGAACCGTCTCCCAGGAAACCGAGCTCGCCCTGCCCCCTGGTTACGGCCCTACTTCCGCTCCTGCGCACTGGAGCTCTTGGGGGGACCGAGGCTACCTGAAGGAAATGGCCACTTCCCGCTTACCACCGGCGACGCTAACGCTAAAGCAGGTAGTGCTGTTTTCGCCAGTCTTTCCAGGATCTGATCTCAATTATCCATCACTCCCTCCACCCCACCCTGCGGAGTGCGTCGCGGGGGCGGGACTTCCTGATGCGGAAGCCGGCGGTGGAGGCGGGAGGAGGGGTCGGGGAGGAGGGAGCTGCCCTCTGGCCCTGGGTTCGTGAGGCGGGCGGGCTGTGGGTCTCTTTGGAACTTTAATGCCTTGGCCACGGTGAAGACTGTGATGTCTGTCGTACTGAGCTATGGTAAAGAGTGAGATTGCCAAAGAATTTTAACTGCATTGTTTTAAAAAAAAGTACTGTAGGTACAGCCTCCAGTAACTGGTAGTTCTTTTTCTGCTCATTGGTCATCTCTTGATGTTAAGGGGTTCTTAAGGTTTGACAAAGGAGTAAGCGAACGCCCAAATACACTTTTTGCCTTTTTCTTAAAAGAGAAGTTCTTTGCCCTTTTCAAAATTGAGGACCAAAGAGAAGTCATCTAGTAGATTCCTAACGTAAAGCCCTCTGGGCTGTAGATTTTGCAGTTGTAATAGACATTTCTCCTCCCCTCTACAGTTCATGAGAAGGCAACAAGTTCTCCTTCTCTACAGGAGGATTTTGCAAGCAATTCGGGAAGTTCCAAATGATTCTGATCGAAAATACCTGAAGGACTGGGCAAGGGAAGAATTCAGAAGAAACAAAAGTGCCACCCAAGAGGTGAGAAGATCATGGTGAGGACAGGCCCTGACCATTTTGTATTTTTTTTTTTTAAGTTTAATAGACATTTTGGAATATAAGGATCATGGAGATGTACATACATCTGGATCACTCCTTTAATGTTACCAATTTTCCACTCAAATGATAATTGAAATTTTACAATCTTTACAGTAGCATCACCTGACTTTTCTGTTAAACCATATATACACATACATGAAAAGATTATAAATAGGACAGCATGATGGTTTGGGAAGGATGATGACTGGGTTTACAAAGCATGTCAGACACTGTGCACCCTCAGTTGTCAGTTTGGGGCTTTCCTAATACACAGTGGTTCCAGTTCTCAGTGTTGGTCCCTGAATAACAAATGAAATGATAGAGCTGTACCTTGTTTAACCAAGTAAAACAGTGACCAGCTTTCACTTTCTTCTACAGGATACAATACGGATGATGATTACTCAAGGCAATATGCAGCTCAAAGAGTTAGAAAAAACCCTTGCTTTGGCAAAATCTTAACTATAGCATTATTCTGAAAGACTTTCAAAGTTTCCATGTGTATTATTGAGCTAATTAGACTCAATGATGAGCAGCCTAAAAGCAAGTCAAACTGTACAGTACTTGGGAAAATGTCAGAACATGGAGCATGGCATGTCAAAGCAAACAAAAGCACATCAGAACAATTGCCTTAACACTGAAAAACACACCCTGCGTTTTGAAAATGTTTTTGGATGTGTCAGTTCAAGCAGCAAAAACCAGTACAAGTGGTCAGCACTTAAGATGCTCAACACCATTAACCCTCTGGGAAATGCAAATTAAAACCACACTGAAACAGTACCACATCCACTGGAATAATTATAATTAAAAACAGTTAAGCAAATGTTGGTAAAGATGTAGGGAAACTGGACCCCTCATACATGCTGTGGGAATATCAAATGGCACAGCCACTTGGAAAACAGACTGTCAGCTGCTTAAAAGATTAAGTTACCAAACAGTTCAGCAGTTTCCTCCTAGGTTTATAACCAAGAGAACTGAAAATCTTTCTATAAGAAAACTTGTACAGGAATATTCATAGCAGCATTATTCATAATAGCCAAGAAGTAGAAGCAATCCAAATGCCCATCATCTGATAAATGATTAAATAAGATGTCTGTAGAATATTATCTAGCAATAAAAAGGAATGAAGTACTGATACATGGATGTACCAGAGACCAGTCACAAAAGATCACATATTATAGGATTCCATTTATATGAAGTATCTAAAATAGGAAGAAAGAGGTGGGTTTCCCAGGGTGTGGATAGCATGGAAAGTAATTGCAAATGGATATGGGATTTCTTTTCTGGGTAATGAAAACATTCTAAAGTTGGGGGTGTCGGTTGCACAACTCTGAATATACTAAAGTCCATTGAATCATATATTTTGCATGTGTGATATTTGAATTATACTTCAGTAAAGGTTTTACTGATTTTTTTGCTGATAAAGAATTGACATATAATACTGTGTAAATCACTATTTTAAGAAATCGTATGAGATATATGGATGTATACTGACCTCAGAAGATACCCTGGACCTTTCTTGAAAAAAAAATCCTTCTGCATTACTGATGGTTGTTGAGGTAGGTTCTTCAGATGTGTCATGATCCAGTAGTCGAAGGATTCTCTGAAAAGACCACCACCAGTAATACAGATCTTTGTTGGAAAGAGGAGAGACAGAAGCTTAATGAACACATTGAGGAACTTACCAAAAAGAAGAGGCAACGTCTGGATGAAACTAATGCAATTACCTTAGCATCCACATAGAAAGAAGTGAAACCGTCAGGGAAGATCCTTGGTGCATTACATTCTCTTCCAGTGACAGGAGGAAAGAGTTTGAAGAATACATTGAAGACGAGAAGTTGACTTGACACTCCAACCAAATGTATAACAATTACTTTAGTGAAAGTGAAAGCTTATGGAAGAGGTGGGATCGGCGGTCCTATAGATGGATGTCCTCTGTTCTTTTACAGAACAGATCTAAAACGTTAATCCAAGAATCTGCTCAGCACCTGAAAAATGTAGGAGAAACTTTGCAGAATGATAAATGGTTACCTAGTACTGGACTGCCTGCCAGAGGAGAGAGAGAAGCAGATGGTGGCGTTTGTCCATGACCTGCCTGCATTGCCAGGGTCCACCCGCCCCTCCCACAGCCTCAGCCCACAAGACAAAATAATTCTGAATATTCTTCAGCCGGGTAATCTAATTCAAAATGCTTGAGCTAATTATCAGATTTGTACATAGCTGTACATCAGTTAACCTATTGCAAAGCCATTTGATGAACAGAAGCATTTGTGAACAGTCTCTGAGCAAAGAATACTTTTCTTTGTGCAGCATGATCTACCTATTCAAGTATAGGCAATTTCTAGTAAATCTAAAATCTTGACACTACAGATCATCCTTTCATGAGGTGTAGAAGTCCATGACTTGGTGACGTTCTTCCTAGTGGTGGTATATGTAAAAGATCTAAGAGCATTTGTGGTTTAAGTTTGTAAGATACAAATACCAGACTCCGAGAAAACCTAACTTGGGATTTGTTTTGTTTTTTAAATTGGGCAAAACACTGCAAATTGAATGTTCATCTTCCAGATGCTAAGATTATTATAATCTTAATAATGGATAGCATTTGAGTGCTAAATAAATCTTAGGCTAAACAACAATTTCTCCTCCCATATGGAACCATGCTCATTAAGATGTTGGCCAGGTTCAAACTCCTGGTGAAACACATTTTATTTAGCATCTTTATCAGTGTTCTGGCTTAGACAACAAATTACCTTTCTGGATATTCCCTGTGAACTATATTCGTGTGGGGGCACCTGGGTGACTGAGTCAGTTAAGCGTCCGACTCTCAATTTTGGCTCAGGTCATGATCTCAGGGTTGTGAGATCGAGCCCTGCATCGGGCTCTGTGCTGGGCATGGAGCCTGCTTAAGATTCTCCCTCTCCCTCATCCCCTACCCACCTTCTAAAACAAAACAAAAAAACCCATAACTATACTCTTGTTTGAATCTTAGTTTTGTTCCCCAAGTTTAATTTTAAAGTACTCGGATGTTCAGTTTATGTATTTGAACTACAAGAAGTCAAATTTTTGTATTAAAACTTTTTAAATACCAAAGCTTTCTAGCATGAGGATAAGTGCGTAGGGCTATTATTTAGCATACTGACTATCCCTACGTCATTATCTTTTTTGAAGTGTGCCATCTGGTTGGAAGTTTCTGAACTCAGCACAGGCATTGCTGTGGGTGGGCCTGCAGAGGATGTTATAATATTTGGGGAAAAGCAGCACATGTTCTTTGGTGTCTGTATTACTGGAGTCACACAACTAGACACTCAGGAGAGGCTGAGACCCCCACTTAACCTAAATTGTCTCTTATGGAAGAAAAATGCTAGTCAAACAACAGAAGGAAACAGCTCACATCTACCGTGGGAAAAAACTGGGATTATGTAGAGTAAGGTCCAAGCAGAATCAAAAGCAAACTGTCACTTTGTGCCAAACTAGAAATCACCGCAGCCTATTGCCTTCCTTGAGTCAGGCATCTGAGAAATTCTATCAGGATTAAATTTGCTATTTTTGTTTACTAGGAAGAGGAAATTGCTTTTTACTCACTCTGGTTTGCATTAGGAAAATTTCTGTGCTGTTTCCTGGTTATGTGTCTCATGGATTTAATATATTCATATTTATCATCATTTTGACAATATTACAGACGAATATTTCCTTTAAAATCACAACAGAAGACAACTAAAATTTTTTTTCTTATAAGTATTCTAAAAGGTCACTGGTTTTATCTTCTAAATCTTAATCGATTTGGCTTTTATGTCACAGGAAGAAATGTATTTAGCTTTTACGAATAATTTGTTAGAAAATGTTATTTTGCCTGCATACAGTTATAAGTGAGGTTTTGTTCTCTCAGGTCAGTATTTTCTAAAAGGTCAACAGTCTAAACAAAACATTAAAGCTTGTACTGAGAAAAAAAAAAAAGCTTGTACTGAGAAATATTTCCATATTATGGGCTTTTGAAAAATTTATTTTTCATGCAGTACACCTGATCTCTACTCTAAAGCAGATGTATTTACCAGAAGTTACCCTTCTATCAAAACAAGGTAAAGTATGACTGCATGAAGGCACTCTTTCTGGGAACCATAAGTTTGATTAACCACACAAACGAAAATATACACTAAATAGTCACATTTTCATTTTTAAAAAATGTTTAATGTTTGAAAGAGACAAATTCAAGGTAATAAAAATATGAAATAGAAGACAACATACCTCTCAAGTATCAGCGCTTGACTGGAAAAAAAAAAAAAAGATTTAAGCATGAAAACATCAATTCCTTTATTTTGGGCTCCCGAAGTCAAAAGTAAGATTAGAACTATATTCAATCTAACCACAGATTTTACTTTACTCAATGCAATAATTCACTAATAAAAACCCCACTTCGGTATTCTACAACCTTTCTGTGTTTTATATTTTTCCCCATAGCTATTGAAAGTTCCAATCTCCGGTTCAAACACGACCCACATGACAGACTTTCAACTAATGATTTTGCTTCTTTGGAAGAGTACTATTGTGGCATTTGCTCATTTTAGCAGATAGCATAAGGGAAAAATAAGGAAAGATACCCATCAGACCCAAAGTTGAATTTTTGACAGTACTAAAGAACAAAAACCCAGTTTTTTAAAATAAGCTGTTGGTCTTGAGATGCTGCCACCAGTTTGGGTTAGGAGGCCAACTGATGGTGTTCTGTTTCCTTGCTTCTACTGGGTTCCCTCCTGTCAGAGAAGGATCCGTGTACTCTGCCAGACCAGGTGCCTTCGACTCTTCTCATTCCTCCCTAGTCTCCTTCCTGTGACTTGGACAAAAATACCCAGTTCATAATGATTAGCTGCCTGCTTCTGATGGGTAGAGGTGACATAATCAAAATCCTTCCTTCCAAAGCACTCTGTGGTCGAGATAAAATTTAATTTGTTCTCAGCATTTCTCAACAAGGATACTCCTTGGGATAAGAGGAGATATGTGGTAAGTGAAAAGAGCTGCTTAGACTACAACTTCTGGAGTATCTCAGGATCTCATCTCTGACTATCGGACAAGTTCTCAAACTGATGTGTGTTGAGGAAGGATTCTAAAGCTGCCCATGACCCGAGAGACACTGAAGGCACCGTCCCACTGCAGTTGTGTGGTTCTGCCTGGGGGCGCAGAGGGGAATGAAGAGAGAAGGTGCCTCCCCACCGAGCAGGGTAACGAGTCTCTGGGGAACAACAACACATCCTGAATGGTAGTTGAGGAACAAGACAAGCTCACAGACATGAACATCAGCTCGAGAGGACATTAAATTGATTGCCTCTCCGGGTTGTGTAATGGTGACCTACATCTAGATCTAGATTTGTTAGGAATGCCTCTGTCCGTAGATTGTCACTATTAAAAACAAAAATAACCGCGAGCTTGATTAGGCAAAAACAAAGGGACTATAAACATAACTCTTTCTGGGTGTGCCCATGTCAGGAAATCATTTTCTCTTTGGCTCAATGAGCAACATTTTATTCAACGTTAGAGACAGTAGTTACTCAGTTCCTGTGTTGTCGGAAACAGAATGGAGATTTCTGTGCGTATGTGGAATCTGGAGGAGATGAATATAATCCCACATACCAAGGGACAAACAGCAGAAAAATCCAAAATTTCAATATACCCAAGCTACTTCTATAACTTTGTATACTCCATAGAGCAGAGTAAAATCCTTGGGGCTCCATAAAGCTGGGGAACAGTGGGGTCTAGATCAAGTTACTGAATTATTTTACCTTGACAGAATCACTGCAAAGCAGTGGGAAACTTTTGAGGCTCATCAATGACAGGACACAATTAGAAGTGAAAAACTTTCAAGAAATAGCCTTACTTTATAAAATGTAGACCAAAAAGCTCAAATTTAGAAAGGTACTCTTGGATAATTAGGAGTGATTGAGGATAGAAGCTTCAGGTAATTGTTAGATGAATGTTTTCCCATTAATCTTTAAAATCGGTAGGATTAATCAATTGTAGTATTGCTGTATTTTGGCTGAAAATACAGAAACAATGACCCAGTGATTTGAACCTTTCTCATTTGAGTTTATTAACAAATATTCCCAGTGCTTTTCACCAATTCCTCATTATTTTAAATACCCTCTGACTTTGCAAAATATTTTAAGATATGCTGGATCTAGTGACATTATGAAAATCTTTTTCTCCTCGAAATCTATTCGATAAGTTTTCATCTGGTTATAAGGTCAGCCTTTTGAGAAGTAGGAATTTGAGAGGGGACTTTGCGCATCTCAGCCACAGCGCTCACAGAAAGATAGCCCTCTCTGGGCCCAGCACGTGTGCGCCACATGAATGACTACTGGCGTTCACAAGGGATTCGTTTTTCTTCTTCCTTTCGATTTGTATTATTTCATACATCCTGAATTTTAGGGTTTAGACTCTACAGATCGTCAGTTTCTAAGCGTGGCTCACTTAATCTGAGCTTTTGAACCTCAGATGAGCCTGGACTGAGGTTATGAGTTTGTAATGAAACCTGAAACTAAGCAAGCGTCCCCCGGTTTCAGTCTCACTGTTGAAGTCATCATAACTTCAGGGCATAGTTAGCATGGGTCTGGTACATCTCAGAAATTTGACTTTTTTTGAAAGACAAGTCCACTGCGTGCACGATAATGGACACCTTGGGCAGAGCTCTTCTAGAGCTGCAAAGCCAGCAATCATCAAGAATCCCTTCTTGTGCCGCGCCCAGGTCCTAATTGTCCTTCTGCACCTTTGTCCTTAGTTTAGCAAGTTCTTCTTCTAAGCTTTTAATATGTTCCTTCAAGGTGGCCTTGTCTTGCTGGGCCTTCTGACTGGCTTGGCTTCGTGCTTCCTCAATCTTCCTTTCATACCACTTTTCCATCTGGGTAGAAACAGCTTCAAAAAAATACTGGGTAATCTCCAGAGCTTGGGAGGCGTCTCGAGTGTGAGGGGCGGTCTGCTCGCTGCCTGTTGCTGGTGGCGGCCCACAGGGGTTGCTGGGTGCTGGCTGCTGGGTCCGATGCCTTGTTTGCCCGCTTTTCCCAGACTTCCTGGTTTGGGTGCCTCTGTCTACACAGGGCCCAGCCTGCTGATCACATTTGGCTGCCTCTTTCAAGGGTAGCAAGGCTGTCTGGACCTTGACATTCCTCAGCCGGGATCCTGTACAGTCTGAGGAAGACAGCTCCTGCTGTATTCTGTGGGGAGCAGTGGGGTTGAAGGCCTTTTCCTTGGGCCTCACCACCTGAGGAGAACTGTCAGAAGCTGCTACTGGACCTGCAGTGACCACTGATTGATCCACACCTAGTTTCAGAAGGAAAACAAAACCACATTCACACAGTCCCGTGGCTCTGGGTCAGCATTTCAGAGTCCTGGTAATCCTGTAAACCATCAGCCTTCCCAACTGCCAACCACCACGTGCGATTTCTCCTCCGCCCTCCCCACTTCCACTTCCCCCTGATGATCATTTTGGCTTGTCAGGGCTTGCACGGATTAACGACACTGGTGGCATCTAAGCCAAAAAAGTTGCTGGCCTTTCCTTTAGCCAGTTAGAAAGCTTAGAAAGCTCTGGGTAATTTTGTGATTGCTAAGGATGACACAGCTCACCAAGTATCTCCAAAACAGAACTGGGTATGTATAGATGGGAATGAATCTGCCCATTCCCTAATTTCTGGACCTTTTCCACACCATAGCCCCAGTTACTGGCTCTCTCTACCCAGAGCTCCAGCCAAGTTCCATAACTAGACCTAACATGAAAAATTTGCCCAGGATTTCCCCAATGTTATGGGCACAAAGAAGGTAAAACCCCACAGTTCCAGAAATGGTCTATAATAACATAATACACATGACATATCAAAATTCCTCACAGAGGCCTAATTACGAAGGTTCTAAACGTCCTCAAAATTAGCACTGAGTATAATCACTGTGGCTAATGAAAAGACACTTTGCTTGAAAGATCTCTATCTAGCACCTGGAGCTTCAATATATGAACTGCTGTTTATGGAGGTTTTACACAGTTGGACAAAGGTCAAAGGAAGGACCCCTGCTGAGGAGACAGATGTTCATTCCTCACTCTTCATCTTTGGGACCCACTCTGACACCATCAACATTGTACCTGAAACACTGCTATCACCAGCCAACAATTCTTGATTATTCCTTTATTCAGAAATGTCTGAATATTTAAATAGGAGTACTTTATTGCCGTATAGTAACTGAAAGTACAGCAGTAACCAAAATAAGTTCTTAGCCCTACAGAATTTAGATCCAGTGTTTTCCACAGCCCTATCCTAGGGGCTGCCTTTGGATACAGCAGAGAACAATCTCAGGGGCTTTTACCACCTTTGGATGGAGTGGCTCTCTCTGCACATGCATTACCTGTAGAGGACTCACAAGTAGATGGTATGGATTTGGTCCTAGAGGCCCTAGAATCTCCAGAAAGCTTCAGCTCCAGATTCTGAATCTTTAACATGCACCAGGTTTTTAATTCATCCACCAATGACATCTACAAAAACAAAAACAAACAAACCCGCATAAATGATTAGGTGAATTGGACATGTGGTTTATGAATGAAAGCATCTAGAGTGGACTCTTCTATTATGAAAGTTCAGGATATCATCTTGACAAGCCTAAAAGCTGTGGATTACCTCCACTCCCACAGCCACACAGCCTTCTCTGCTGCCCTGTGTAGACCAGGATTCACCCAGCACCAAACCTGATAGTTTCTATAATCTTTGAGTGACTTAGGGCAAGAGACACCTTGAACACCCAAAGCTTCCCAAATCTTACAAATCAAGAATTTCTGGCTGCTCAGGAGCATGAACTCTCACACACTCAACAAGCACTCATTTTATGTGTGTTGTTCTTAGGTAGACAAACTCCCCAAGGGCAGGAAACAACTCTAGCTCAACAACAGAGCAATGCCTAACAGATGCACGATACATAGAAGTGATGCAAAGCAGAGACCACATCTTCCCCAGCATATTCTATGAACGTTTCAGTCTCCACCAATTACCAGAATATTCAGCAACAAATGGACTGAACTACATGTTCTTTTCTATTCATTATATAAATTAATAAAAGGACATTAAAAAGGACATGCTACATAATACCAATGCTCTTATGGGTTCTTGGCCTCTGGGTTTTCAGTGATGGGTCCGAGTCTTAACTCGGTGGAGAGGTGTATTAAATACCCAGCGAAAGACACATCCTGGTTTTCACCTGTCGCCTCTCTCCCTCGTGCTTCTCGGCGTCCGAGTGCTGCTGCAGGCGGGTCACGCACTCTGTTCTCTCCGCTGAGAGCCGCTCGACCATCAGCTTGTCCAGAACGCGCATCTGGGATTCAGTGGACAGAAAGCATAGGACTGACATGATCTAAGGATGGGGTACGGTCTCCCGCCTCCTGAGACGGGGCTCTGGGGGACCAAGCAGGGGCCAGAGAGAACAGAAGCAAACCTCAACTTCTCTTTTATCCTAGTTTCATCTAGTTTTCATTGAACTCTAGGTTTTCACAATCCCTGAGCATGTTTCTGTGTAGTCAAGGCTTTTTTTCCTTATTTGTTAAAGTCCTAAGGGGTTGAAGAGACTGAACACAGTAAATCTACAACATAAGCCAACAGACCTTGTACGTAGAATTTTTACAGGTTTCAGAACATTATTTCCAAGAGTATTATTGAAAGGAAAAACTACTTCTAGAAGTATGCAGCTGTACCTGATCTTAATTATCCTTCCAATTAATTTTTAACACCCCACCCTTAAATGTTAGTGGCTGCCTGTGAGGTAGCGAAAGCAGCTGAATGCTCAGCGCTTTTAGCCAGTGTTCTTTTTTTTTTTTTTTAAAGATTTTATTTATTTATTTGAGAGAGAGAGAGAATGAGAGCCAGAGAGCACGAGAGGGAAGAGGGTCAGAGGGAGAAGCAGACTCCCCGCCGAGCAGGGAGCCCGATGCAGGACTCGATCCCGGGACTCCAGGATCATGACCTGAGCCGAGGGCAGCTGCCTAACCAACTGAGCCACCGAGGCGCCCTATCCAGTGTTCTTAATGAGCCAGCCCCCTTAGTGCTTCGCTGAAAGTAATCAAAGCAAGTGTGAAGGACGGTAGGGAATTAAAGCGTGTGTGTCAGAGAACAAATGATTATCCCCTTTCAGTCATGCCCTCCTAGGTTCCCCCAACATCGCGACATTTCCCATAGGGCCCTAACACCCAGGAAAGCCAAACTTCCACTGCTTTGACAAGGTCCAAACAGGAGAAAGGAACTTTGTTAGCAGGGACCAGCCCACAAGGGCTCGCTGCTGAGCTCTCCCGTCAGGGACACGTATGATGCTCCAAAAACTAAAAGAGCAGTAGGTTCCGGAGATGTGGTGAGCACCTTCTGTTCCATTCCTTCAGCCCTCATGTTTTCCTGTGAGCCGCTCTCCTGTTTTCTAGGATTGGCCTACTCCCCTACCTCCTTATCCTCTGTCAAGAGCAACCATGTTGATAGAGCTTTGTTCCAGGGCATGGCTGACTGAGTCACACAGGAGTGCCTGACTCGTGCCACACCAGAGTCCTTTACCTATGATTAGGAATTAGGACGAAGATTCCACAACCCCATCTGTCACCCTCCTTGAAATGAAGCGAGGTCCTTGAGAAGATCCAGCATTTATCTAATACATTTCCTCTTGGGCTTAGGCTAGCCAAAGCTGTCTTATTTATAAGACAGTCTTAACTAATATATTATGGCATTAGGAAAAGATTTCTTGAAGGCGCTTTCCATGAAGTACAAATAGCAAATAAACCTAAAATGTTCTACCTCACCAACAAACAAGGAAACAAGAATTAATATTCTTAATTCGGCAAAAACTTTAAAAATGGTAATATAATATTAAAGACAGCAAAAGTTTGAGACAGAGACTCAATTTATATCCTATCCTACCTGTTGGATATAAATTCACACAACCTTTCTGTTAAGTAGATTACTAATATTTGTCAAGAGCCTTAAACATATTCTTAACTCTGGACCCAGTTATCCTAAATTTGAGCAAATAACTTGAAAAGCAAACATTTACGCACATAAATGTCCATCATAGCATTATTTATAAGAGTGAAAAACTATAAGCAACTTTAAAGTCTAATAAAAAGGAATAGTTAAATAAACTGTTGTATTAATATGCTGGAATATTATGAAGCAAAGGACATGGGAAAGTGCTCAGGATATCAAATTAGGTGAAAAAAGCTGGAAGCAAAACTATTAACTTAAGGTAACCTAAGGTTTCATCTAGTATTCATCGAACTCTAGGTTTTCACAATCCCTGAGCATGTTTCTGTGTAGTCAAGGTTTTTTTCTCATTTGTTAAAAGTCCTAAGGGGTTGAAGAGACTGAACACACAGCAAATCTACAACTTGAGCCAATGCAGACCTAGTATTAAGTTAACCTAAGGTGTAACTTAGGGAGGTGGGTGGTGGTTTGGGTGAAATAGGTGATGGGGATTTAGGAATGAACTCCTTGGGATGACCACTGGATGATGTGTGAAATTGCTGAACCACTATATAGTACACCTGAAATATAACACTGTTAACTAGACTGGAAGTAAAAATAAATAAAAACAGCATGTACTAAACAAAAACAAATGTTATGTTTAGCTCCATATACAGAAGAGTACATTGCCTTAAATAGCACAACAAAACTCAGCATGTCAAAGACATTACTAAATTTAAACATAAGTTACAAAGATGACAAGGGCTCTTCGGGTCCAAGATGGTGAGGTAGTAAGACCCTTAATCTCCTCCACACCACATCTAATCTACACCTATTTATAGAGCAATTCCTCCTAAAGACCTGGGGGATGACTGAGCAGTTTCTGTACCACAGAAAATAAACCATATAGAGAACAGTAAGGGAGAGACATGGTAGCAAAGGGACCGCCCCCCCCCAACCAACACTGAACTGTAGTGCAGATAGTACTGAGCAAACGGAAGATTTGTCTGCCCTGGTGCACAGAAGAAAAGCCAGGATGTAAAAGGGCAACTAGAATACAAAGGAACCAGAACCCTGCCAGATGTCGGGGGAGTCGTCAGAAAGCTCTCGAGTCAGAAGGGCCGGCAAGCATCAGAGTCTATGTTCCTCCATCACCTTGAGAATGCAGATGGGAGCAGGGCCTGGGCACTCCAGGCATCCTGCCACCTCAGTGAGCCCTGCCCTAACCCACACCAGCCCAAGCTGTCCCACCAAGGCAGCCCCAGCATGGTACACACGTGGACACCCTTGGTCAGTGCTCACAACCGCTCCAGCCATTTTGCCAAGGTGACACAGGCGCGAAGCACCTTGAACACTCCAGGCCCACGTTGCTCCAACTCCAAATGACTTGCCAGGGCACACTCAACACAGTGCCCTGAGACCTCCCCACCCAACTCCCCTTTGGCTCCAGATGACGTGCCAGGGTGCATCCCGTGAAGAGCCCCTGCAACACATCACTTTGCACCCACTTCAGCTTCCGCTGGTCTGCCAGGGCACCCTCTGCATAGAGAGCTCCGGGACATCCCTATACCCACACTTCAGCTTCAGGTGACTTGCCATGAGGCCTTTGGCACAGAGAGCCCCAGGACTGCCCCAATCTGCACCCACTTCAGTTCAGGCCATCCCACTAAGCCCCAGTGCAGAGAACCTGGAGACCGCCCCCCCCCCCCCCCCCCCCCCCCCCCACAGTTCTGCCAGCCAGCCAAAGTCACCAAGCATACACACTCTACACAGGGGATTACCATACATAAGACCATTCCTTCAAGTTTAGGATAAGTAGCTATTCTGCCTAATTCTGCCCAAGAAACAAAAGCAGAAAGTCAAGCAAACGAGGAGACAGAGGAATATGCTTCAAACAAACGAACAAAACAAAAGAAGAACTAAATGAAACGGAGGGAGCCAATCTGCCTGATAAGAGTTCAAAGTGATGGTCTTAAAGATGCTCACCAGCTGCACAGAAGAGAATGAATTCAGAACTTCAACAAAGAAACAGAAAATATAAAAAGAACCAATCAGAGATGAAGAATATAGTAACTAAAATGAAAAACACAATATAAGGAACCAACAGCATAGAGGATGAGGAAGAATGGATCTGGAATCTGAAAGATGAGGTAATGGAAAGCACCCAAACTGAAGAAGAAAAAAATAATTTTAAAAAATAATGATATGATGTGATGTATGGTGATTAACATAACAAAAAATTTAAAGAAAAAAAAAATAATGATAGGTGAAGGGATCTCTTTGACAACCACAAACATTTGCATTATAGGCATCCCAGAAGGAAGGGAAAGAGAGAAGGGAACAGAAAACTTATGTGAAGAGACACCTGAAAACTTCCTGAGCTGGGGAAGGAAAACAGACACCCAGGTTCAGGAAGCACAGAGAGTTCTAAACAAAATGAACCCAAAGGAGATCCACACCATGACACATAATTGAAATGTCAAAGAGTAAAGATAAAGAGAATTTCAAAAGCAGCAAAAGTAAATAATAACATTCAAGGAAACCCCAATAAGGCTATCAGCTGATTTTTTAGAAACTTTCCAGGCCAGAGGAAGTGACATGATATATTCAAAGTACTGAAAAAAAAAAACAAAACCCTACAACCAAGAATATTCTGCCCAGCAAGTTTATTATTCAGAATCAAATGAGAGATAAAGACTTTCCTAAACAAAAGCTGAAAGAATTCATCACCACCAAAACAGCCTTACAAGAAAAAAATTTTTTTAAGATTCCATTTATTTATTTGAGAGAGAGAGAGAAAGCACAAGCCAGGGGAGGGGCAGAGGGAGAGGGAGAAGCAGGCTCCCTGCTGAGCAGGAAGCCCAACATGGGGCTCGATCCCAGGACCCCGGGATCATGACCTGAGCCAAAGACAGACGCTTAACCGACTGAGCCACTCTCAGGCACCCCAACTTTACAAGAAATTTTAAAGAGATTTTTTTAAATAGTAAAAAGTCCATAATTAGGAAATTATGAAAAAAAGAGTTCATGAGTAAAAGCAACATAAAGGTAGTAAAGCAATCACTTATAAAACTAGTATGAAGGTTAAGAGATAAAGAGGTGAAACTGTATCTTTAAAGTTAGTTAAGGAAACTCAAAAGAAAGATAAAAAATGACAACATGCAAAAAACACAGGGGGGTCAGTAAAAATGAAGTTCTTTTTGAATGTATTCAAACTTGAGTTGTTTTTTGTTTTTGTTTTTGTTTTTTGAGAGAGAGAGAGCATGCATGTGCACCTGAGTGGAGGATGGGGCAGAGAGAGAGCGGGCAGAGGAGAGCAAGAATCTCAAGCAGGCTCCACGCCTGGCGCAGAGCCCAATGTGGGGCTCGATCTCAGGACCTGACATCATGACCTGAGCCAAAATCAAGAGAGTTGGTCACTTAACTGCCTGAGCCACCCAGGCTCCCCAAGTGACCATCAATTTAACATAGACTCTCTACAATTAGGAGGTTATATATGAATCTCATGGTAACACAAACCCCAAACCTAGGATACACACACACACACAAAAGAAAGTGAAGCAGAACACTAAAGAAAGTCATCAATCATAAGAAAACAGAGCAAGAGAGGAACAGAGAATTACAAAACAAGCAAACAATAAAATGGCAATAGGTACATACCTATCAATAATTAAATGTAAATGGTCTAAATGATCCAATCAAGAGACAGAGGGTGATTGAATGGATAAAAAAATAAATAAGGGGCGCCTGGGTGGCTCAGTCGTTAAGCACCTGCCTTCGACTCAGGTCATGCTCCCAGGGTCCTGGGATCGAGCCCCGCATCGGGCTCCCTGCTCCTGGGGAAGCCTGCTTCTCCCTCTCCCACTCCCCCTGCTTGTGTTCCCTCTCTTGCTATGTCTCTGTCAAATAAAATCAAATATTAAAAAAAAAAAAATAAGACCCATCTATTTGCTGCCTACAAGATATTCACTTCAGACTTAAAGGCACACACAGACTAAAAGTGAAGGGATAGAAGAGATTCCATGCAAACAGAAGGGAAGTGGGGTGGAGGTAGCCAAAGTAGCAATACTTATAAGAAACAGAGACTTCAAAACAAAGACTGAACAAGAGACAAAGAAGAGCATTACATAATGATAAAGGGATCAATCCAACAAGAGGATTATAACAATTGTAAATACATATGCACCTAACTTCAAAGAACCTAAATACATAAAGCAAATATTAGGAGACAAAGGGAGAAACTGATAGTAATACAATAATACTAGGAGACTTTAACATCCCACTTACATCAGTGGATAGATCATTCAGATAGAAAATAAGGAAATTGCCCTTTTTTTTTTTTAATTTAAAGATTCTATTTATTTACCTGAGAGAGAAAAAAACGCACAAGAGCAGGGGGAGCAGCAGGCAAATTCTTCCCAAACTATTCAAAAAATAAATAAATAAATAAACATACAGGGCACCTGGGTGGCTCAGATGATTAAGCCTCTGCCTTTAGCTCAGGTCATGATCCCCAGGGTTCTGGGATCAAGTCCCACATCAGTCTCCCTGCTTAGCAGAGAGCCTGCTTCTCCCTCTCCCTCTGCACCTCCCCCAGCTCATGCTCTCTCTGTCTCAAATGAATAAATAAAACAAACTTAAAAAAAGAACAAACATACAGACATCAATGGAACAGAATAGATAAACCCAGAGATGGACCCTCAACTCTATGGTCAACTAATCTTTAACAAAGCAGGAAAGAATATCCAATGGGAAAAAGACAGTCTCTTCAACAAATGGTGGGAAAATTGGACAGCCACATGCAGAAGAATGAAACTGGACCATTTCCTTATACCATACACAAAAATAGACTCAAAATGGATGAAAGACCTAAATGTGAGACGGGAATCCATCAAAATCCTAGAGAACACAGGCAGCAACCTCTGCCGCAGCAGCTTCTTGCTAGACACGTCTCCAAAGGCAAGGGAAACAAAGGCAAAAATGAACTATTGGGACTTCATCAAGATAAAAAGCTTCTGCACAGCAAAGGAAACAGTCGACAAAACCAAAAGACAACCGACAGAATGGGAGAAGATATTTGTAAATGACATATCAGATAAAGGGCTGGTATCCAAAATCTATAAAGACCTTATCAAACTCAACACCCAAAGAATAATGCAATCACGAAATGTGCAGAAGACACGAACAGACATTTCTCCAAAGAAGACATCCAAATGGGCAACAGACACATGAAAAAATGCTCGACATCACTCGGCATCAGGGAAATCCAAATCAAAACCTCAATGAGATACAACCTCACACCAGTCAGAATGGCTAAAATTAACAAGTCAGGAAATGACAGATGTTGGCGTGGATGTGGAGAAAGGGGAACCCTCTTACACTGTTGGTGGGAATGCAAGCTGGTGCAACCACTCTGGAAAACAGTACGGAGGTTCCTCAAAAAGTTGAAAATAGAGCTACCCTACGACCCAGCAATTGCACTACTAGGTCTTTACCCCAAAGATACAAATGTAGTAATCCGAAGGGGCACCTGCACTCCAGTGTTTATAGCAGCAATGTCCACAATAGCCAAACTATGGAAAGAGCCCAGATGTCCATCGACAGATGAATGGATAAAGAAGATGTGGTGTGTGTGTGTGTGTGTGTATATATATATATACACACACACAATGAAATTACTCAACCAGGGCGCCTGGGTGGCTCAGATGGCTGGGCGTCTGCCTTTGGCTCAGGTCATGATCCCAGGGTCCTGGGATCGAGTCCCACATCAGGCTCCCTGCTCCTTGGGAGCCTGTTCTCCCTCTGCCTCTCTCTCTCTGTCTCTCATGAATAAATAAATAAAAAGTTTAAAAAAAAAAAAAAGAAATTACTCAACCATCAGAAAAAGAAATCTTGCTGTTTGCAACAACGTGGATGGAACTAGAGGGTATTATGCTAAGCAAAGTAAGTCCAATTGAGAAAGACAATTATCATATAATCTCACTTATATGTGGAATTTAAGAGACAAAATAAAGGATTGGGGGGAAGGGAGGGAAGGATAAAACAAGACGAAATCAGAGAGGGAGACAAACCATAAGAGACTTAATCATAGGAAAAAACTGAGGGTTATTGGGTTGGGGGAGGGGGTGTGGGGATGGGGTCACTGGGGAGGGCACGTGATGTAACGAGCACTGGGTGTTATGTAAGACTGATGAATCACCGACCTCTTCCTCTGAAACCAATAATACACTATATGTTAACTGAATTTAAATTAAAAAAAAAAAGATTTTTGGGGGGCTTGAAAGAAATCACAAAGGCAGGCCTCTTGCCTGATAGCCCGCCTGACATGCTCAGGGCAGAGGCTGCAGAATAGAAGGATGTGCTGAGGGCTCTTTCTGATTTCATTTCCTTTCAGAACACCTGGGCATGAAGAATTCCAGGCAACTCACTGACCTGGTGCTGGGTCTTGTTCTCCATATGTCCCAGCTTTGTGTTCATTTTATCCTGAACTGACCCCAGCTCTGCTTTGATCTCCTCCACAGCTGCCTCCAACTGGTTCTCCAGCTTGTTGATTAGGGGTTCACATCGACAACCATTTATCGGTGCCTGACAGGGGAACAATAAAGGAATCAATCCATTCATTCGTTCCTTCCCCAAATTGGTTTTGGGTACCCATCCAGTGCCGGTCAGTATGCCAGGGGGATACAGACGATGGAGGCGGCACAGTCATGCCTGGCATAACTTTGGGATGTCCAGAGGGCCAAGCTTGGGGACCAAGAGGCACTGAGAAGATTCAGAGAGTCCCAATCCTTGTTTCTTTTACCCACTCTGGGGCCTCAAGACGATGCAGTCACCTAAGGATGGTGCAGAAAGCTCTGTAACTACCCTTGTATGCCTGGGCCTAAGCGAGGGGGTGCCCTCTGCAGTTCAGGTCAGGAAGGCCACCTGGTTTATCTTCCAAGCTCATACCTTAAGTCAACACTGAAAGTGGATATTCATCCCCAGGAATAGTAATAAAGGCACAGCCCTGCTTAAGGCCTACAGTCCTAGGTCCAGACAGGGCTCGCCAGGTACCTGCATCACTTTCCCGTCCTTGCCCCGGTACAGCGTGTAGAGCTGGTACGCTCTGAACTCATGGGGAGGGGGCGGGGGGGAGCATCGGTGCCTGGGCCTCTTTTTAGGATGATTATGTGCATGCGCGTCCTTCTGGCGTCCAGGCTGTTGGTCTGCTGGTGGGGTGGGGTCAGAAAACGCTGACACCTGTGGGAGAGGAAGGGACAATTCCCCTGAGCACCGTGACATCCGCAGGACTGACACCCAGCCCGCCGCTCCCATGTCGTTCATGGCTCCCATCTTACTCCCGCCTTGCTTGGTCTCATGGCATTCCACTCTAAGCAGCCCACATCAAAAGAAATCTATCAGCATGCTAACCGTGTGTTTGAAGTTAGCCAGATTTAAGTTCTGTGCTCTGGCTCCCAACCAGCAAGCCAAGCAAAGTGGCGTTCTAGCTACTGGGCATGACGCTATCCCAGGGCCCTCTGCCAAGCTGTCTCCCAGCCCTCCCCTGGCTGCTTTCACGGGCCTCCTGACCTTGGGCCTTGACTTTCTCTGCCTGTTGTCCTTTGCTCTGGGCTCTGGGGAGGCGGACAGGAAATCTTCTCTGGCCTCTTCTTTTCTGGGTACAGCCTGTTCACTGCTGGGGGTGTCTCCGGCTGAGACACTTCCCTACAGAGGAAAGAAAAAAAGCCCAGAAACCAGTTCTAATTGCCCCCCTCTGCCTTTTTCTGTAACGGTATAAAATGCCATTTGCAAGACTGCATCCACGAAAGGACCCGTGGGACTCAGTCAACGACAAACAAGGAACACTGCCTGGTGGTTACCACTGCACATCTTCCATTTTCCCAGTTGCTTGAATATTTGGCTTTGACTCTATTAGGTGCCAAACTAAATATCGTGTTGGGTCTAATTCTATATTCTAGAGCTTCGGGAACCTACCACAAACACCTCAGCATTAGAGATTTTTCTTTTTTTTTTTTTTGCATTTCAATAACTGCAACCACAACAAAAATACCATTCATCCTTTGAACTTGGACCTCACAATTCATAATGGAGTACGGGAAATCTCTGAAATGAAAAAACATCACGTTTCCACTCCTTATAAGAACTTTTACAAATTAATATATACAACACACGGAACTTAATCAGAGTTACAATGCCTCAACCCTGGAAACGGATAAGATTTTGAAAAAGAATGAGTACATGGTATAAAATTTTATGGGCCAAAAGTTGTCTTTATATTCTAGCCTTTTTCGTCCTGGGAGAGCTGAAAGGCAGGGTTTGTCCCAAGGCTACGGTGTCTATTCGTGCAGGCTGTCCCCATACAAGGGCACCTAGCAGAGGGAGCTGAAATCCAGCTCGCGCTCGCTTTACCGTATGTGCCCGAGCAGGGCTGGGCTGCCCAGGGGGCATCTTCTTCTCAGTTCTCACAGAGGAATCACATGGGCTAGCACAGCCTCAGTCCATTCCCTAAGCAGAAAGGAAGGAAGCAACCTAGGCCAGTGGTGGTCAAACTTTAGTCCACATCAGGATCACCCCCGGGGCTCATTCAAACACAGCTTGCTGGGCCCCTCCTGGAGTTTCTGATCCAGTGGGTCTGGGGTGAAGCCCCAGACTCTACATATTTAACAAGGTCCCAGATGACACAGTGGACGCCACACTTTGCAAACCACTGCCCCATACAATTAAGGGCACAGTGTCTGAGGCAGAGCTGTCCGCTTGGTGGTGACAAGGCCATAGATACAGGGGGCTGGGAAAGACGGGCAAACAGGCACACGATCTGAACCCCTGGAGGAGCGGAGGACAGGGAGCCGAAGAGAAAGCACGGACAACAGTTTGAAGAAGCAGTGGGAAGGAGAGACAGAGGAGGGCACAGCCGCTGCCCCACAAGCCCAGAAGCAGCGGCGCGAGTTGCCCACCCTCTGGAATGGGGTGAAGTTGGGGAGGCGCAGGAGGGCTACCCCCCACCTTGCTTTGTGCCACCTCATCTCTTGGCACAGACTGAGCTCTCCTCTCTTCCTTGAGCCTCTCTCTCTTTTTCCTCAGGCTTCGCCCACGACTGAAGCGCAAGACCTGAAGGAGGCAAGAGGCATTGTTAAAAACCACCGGCGTGCGCAGCATCAGCGTGATGGACTCGGCCTTGGACCTGGTGCTCTGATCTAATGAAGCTTCCAGCCTAGTGGGAGAGACCATGCGTTCACGTCAACAAGCACTTCCAGACTGTCTGCTAGGCTTCCTAGGTCCTGCGCCGGGCTCTCTAGGGACCCAGAGAGGAGGAACACATTATCCCTGATCTCCAGGAGCTTACGGTCTAGGACAAGAACAGGCATTTATGTGCCGGGCCACGGCCACCGTATAGGTGTGTGTAGGCCGTGCATGGCTGAACTCCAGGGAACACTACTCACAGAGACTAGGACAGGAACGGCATCCCCTGGAGTAGTCGAACGTGGCAGCCGCGGGCCAGGCACGGGCTCACTGTCTTGGTACACGGGATCTGAACTAGCCCATCAGATTTTCTCTTGACCAAACCATATTCAAGGATATTTGCAGTTTGATTCAAACATTGAAGTGTGTCTGTGAACCACGGTCCCAACCATGGGACAGGAATCTCCTCCCCAGAGGAAGCATTTGGTCTGCCCCCTTCGAGTGCAGGAAGGTAGAACGGACACACGCAAGTAGACATGGGGTCCCAAAGTTATTTGCCCTCTCTGTATTCTCCAACGTAAATCTGGGGAGTTAATGGAATTAACGAAGACAAAGCAGGCGGCTGGTACATCCTGGACCATCAATCACTGTCAGGTGCCTTCCTCCTGCCTCGGTCCCTAGAGTATCTTGACTGGCAGAGTAAGTTTAATAAGGGTACAAATCTTTGAGCTGTCAGAAACCTTCAATCTCTGGCCCAGCTCCACACCCTTCCCCCAGGCCCCTTCCTTCCCAGTTCCAGGGGCACCCCCTTTAACCAAGGAGGTCCAGCAAGTAAAAACACCTTTTTCAAGGTCTCACAATTTCTCTGCAATAAAACATCTTGTCTTCATAGGTAGATAGTTCACCACAGTTTTCAGCTCAGTGTTCAACTTTGTGTTCATTAAATTCAAGTGACACTATTATGGGACAAAACCTTTATGGGCAGCAGGTACCACCCTAAATGGAGAATTCCTGACAATATCTGCCTGTGGCTGAACCAGATTTTTAAACTGTATTCTCATCCCCTAAGCCAACAGCTCTGAAAGTGTCCTGGAACCGAGGCTAAAATTACCTTCATAATATTACAACAACATCGGCCTTTTTCTCTCCTGCACTGAGTATACAGCGGTGTTTACCAGAAGCTGCACACGTACTCCAATGGATCACATGCATCTTCCTTTTAGGAAAACAGTATGGAGATTTGCAGAAATGAAAAATAATGCTACTTACTCTTCTCACACAACTTGTTTCGATAAAGTTACTTTTCACAAAAACAAGTTCATTTTGTGGTAACAGAGTTAAAAATGTTTATTCATTTAAAAACATTTCTCGAGTTGAATTTCAAATATGGTAACTATTAACAGATATAAACACAGCTCTTTATGGGCCTCTAGAACATTAAGTGTCCCTAGACCAAAAGGTCTGAAAGCCACTGTCCTAAGCCCTCTCGTAAGCTAAATTCAGACTCACTAGGAAGTCAAGTCTGATGAGAAGTGACTAGTGCCCTTCACTCATTCAGCTTATGGACTCCTGGAACAGAATACAGGCCCAGTATCAACCCCAAATTCACTTTCAGAAGCATTTGTGAACCGCATCAATCTAAAATGAGAAGGGATACTCAGAGGTCACCCAAATCATCAGAATAATTCCCTCCATAGACCATGTTATTATTAGCCAGTGAAAATAACTTTGCATGGCTTACAGCCTTTCTCAGCGAACCATGTCATCTACTAAATGGAAGGTCATCAATCTTTTCCAGTTCACGGAAATCAGGGTATATGGATCGTTAGAAAGTAAACTCTTAGTACTGCTGTGAGCCAGTGAAACCCATGGTCAGCTAACATCCCAAGGCAAGGAATTTCCTGTTTCACACACAGGAAGGCTAGTTCTAGAAACTCAGAACAAAAGAACAGAATGTATACAATTTTATGCACATTCCAAAGTTCCTTCTTCATGTTGAGAATAGAGTTTAGCATATATAGTTACATAAAATATTCCATAAAATGTCATCTTATTTGCCATTCAAATGGGTGTGGAAAAACTGAAGTCTATTTTTTTTTTCAATGGAAAAACTAAAGGAGAATCACACAGGAAAATGGTCCACAGTAAAGCTTTTTCTCTATGAACTCAGATCCTTGAGTTCTGGAAAACAAAAGGCAGGTGGGTTAAAGGCCTATAATTCTGTGTGCCTTGGGGATACTCCACCCCACAAAATTCGATGATCTTCATACGGCTAAGGACAGAGCTGGCTCTCCAAACTGCCAAACACTGAAATGCCATAGAACAGAGATGGATTCTGACCTTTATTATAGCATCCTGTACTTTTTGATCTGTAAAAGACCAGCATTTTTCTATCAGGATTCATGGATGTGATTCCGTTGATGATTTGCTTGCAAATAGTCGGAAAGAGGTGGAAACTTTTTCCAAAGGACCACCTGACTTGTGTCTGTCAGGGATTCCACAGACTTCCAGACACCACTGAGGACAAACTCCACGGGCAACAGGGTGATCAGTTTTCAGAAGGCAAAAATCTTCACCACTTCCAGAATCTGCTAGTTAATATCAGGTAGGTTTTGAAAACATAAATGAAATAAAGGCCATGCAGACCCCTGGGCTGATGGGACTCAGGCGCAGCAGGCTGGTATCTGGAATCTTCCTCTGGCTCTCTGAGACTTTACCTTCTCACAGTTATCAGGCCTAATAAGTTCGAAAACTAATCTGTTTTTGCTGTAATGTGACAGAGTACCTCCAATCGGGAAGCAAACTATTTCCTTAATATTGGACATTTAGGTTAACAAAATATTGGACAGCAACAAAAAAGTAAACTGGCTTCCATTATGATGAATAATTATGTGAACTGCAGAACATTTTCCTACTATAGTTAGGATAAAGGGCAGGATACAAAAGGGTATGTATATTGTAGGCACAATTATGAAAATTATGTGTCTGAAAGGTAACATGAACAAAAAGTTATTCCAGGGTGCTGAAATGATGAATATAGCTTATACATTATTAAATGTTAATTTCAATCTCAACTCAAATGATATCAATTTTTTAAGTTAAATGATGCTCCAAATACCATTATATTCAATAAAAAAGGAAAGAACACTATTATACTTGACTGCCTCTAATGGACATTTTACTGCTTTGTTTGCCTAGACTGGATCCCTTCCTCCCACCTTTCTCCAGGAAATGCCCCTTCCAACCACACAGTCAAGTGGATACAGCTATCTTCCTAAAGTGCCTGTCCTACTTGTTCAGGGCATTTGCCCCAAGCTCACCAATCATGATCTTCTTCTGTATCATTTAAACCAGAACTTCTTCCCTGAGTACTTGGGGAGTTATAATCCACAAAGCTGGTAATGACCATGATCCAGCCACAGAGAAGAAAGGATGTCCATGTATGAAAACGAGCCCGCTGAACCTTATGTCTCCGGTTCTGGTTATCTTGGAGGCACACATGGATTCCTGCATTTTCCACTGCCTGGTTGCAAACCCATCAATTTCCTATTTAAGTTATTTTGAGTTGGCTTTAACAGATGGCCACCAGAGAATGCCAACAACTTTGCAGCCCCACATAATCAATATAATGGAAAATGCAATAAATCCTACCTGGGGAGCTTTAGTGAGGAGAAGAGCAACTTCCGGATTATTGTGGTAGCGGGCAGTCTCCAATGGAGTCTGGCCTGCCTAAGGAAAGGCAAAGGGGAGGACAAGTGAGTAAAAGACACCAACCCTGCACACATATAGCCCAACTGGGACAGCAACTCTGCACTCAGTCACACTGGCATGTAAGCAAACTCAACAAGATATAATCACACAGAAGACCTGGCCTTGCTCTTGAGCCTCGCCCCCTTTAGTGCAGGAGCCAAGTCACACCTGATAGCACAATGATTAACAACATACAGCAAGAGAGGGTCAGTGTTGACCCTCTAGGAAGCAAAGCTCTGGGATACCTACCCACCAAAGAATGCTTCCTAGAAAAGAGAGGAGGGAATGTAAAAGACAAGGTCACAGTGGAAGATTTCAGTTGAAGAAACACAAAGGATCATAAAATCCAGCCAAGCAATTAATTTTCCCTGGAGGACACTTGGAAGATCAGGCCCCAGCCAATCTCAGGACAATTAGGAAGCTTTGGCCATATCGGAGGCTCTAGGGAGATTAAGGCAGAAAGTAGGAGTTGCTAACAGTGGGATTCAAAAGAAGGGAACGGCCATCATGGGACAGGTACCATGCACCACACAATACAGGTGGGAGGGCTGCGCGGAGGAGGAGGTGGGGGAGGCAGGTGGGGACTAGATTCAGGTGGAGGAGGCAGGTGGGGACTAGATTCAGGTGGAGGAGGCAGGTGGGGACTAGATTCAGGTGGAGGAGGCAGGTGGGGACTAGATTCAGGTGGAGGAGGCAGGTGGGGACTAGATTCAGGTGGAGGAGGCAGGTGGGGACTAGATTCAGGTGGAGGAGGCAGGTGGGGACTAGATTCAGGAGCCTTTTGCCAGCTCCAGCACTCCTCAGCTCTCTACACAACTGTTCTGTCCCCAGCCCCTGAGTCTGGGCTACTTCAGAAGGGCAGAGACCGCAGGTCAGCCTCAAGGAAGAAAGGGTGCCTGAGCTGGTGCCTGCCATAGGACCTAGGAGAGAGAGAGGGAATAGGGTGGGGTGGGAGAGAGAGAGAGAGAGAGAGAGAGAAGGAAAGAATAAGGTGATTTCGGAGAGAGAAGAGAGTTTTGAGGATGATTAATCTGACGATCATGTGCCACTTTTCTGAGGAGCCTATTCATTTACAGGGCAGGAACTCACTTTCCATAACATCCACTTGTCAGTTTACTTAGACACCCACGACCTTCCCTTTACTGGCAGGATGTGCTCACTTCATCTAAGAGTCTAAGGATGAAGGCTTAGGGTTCATCAACTCATGGGGCTGCTAAGAGCAAGGGTTCCCTCAAGTCCACCTCTGGGGTCCTCAGCTTTAACAGAACTCCAGCTCTTACAGAGTAAGGCTGCGGGAGCTTTGTGCCCTTTGCAGAATAAGACTGGGTGAGGCTATGTGCCCTACAGGAGGTGAGGTAGTAACAACACACTCCATTCTGGGAAGGGGTGGGAATTATTTTTAGAAACATTGTTGCAACTTACATTATTAACAATGGTCCCATCTGCTCCAGCTTCCAGTAAGATTTTAACCACCTTCTTGTGATTTAGGGCGGCAGCAACATGAAGCGCTGTGTCTCCAGCCTGAAATTAATCAGAAGAGAGGCTGCTAAACTCCATCTGATTATGGCATACAGCCCTCCGGATTTTCATCCCATTGCCTGGTGGTAGCTTTTCAAATTAGGATTTGCCTTAGACTGATAGGGGGCCCTTTGCTCAAGTGTTACATGGTTCTCTTTAAAGAGATCTCTTTAAAATGACCCAGGTACAAAGATCACACTCCTTTCTGACTGAGGATACTGGAAATCACAGGATTAAGTACAGGAGGCAAAGTAAGGCTGGGCTGGGGTTGTTGAGAATGGGGAGACCTGAAGCCTTACACGGAGCTGGATAATGGGCTGTGTGCAGGCTAGCCATCACAGAGCTCTGTACCACGTCCCTCTGCCCAGGCAGAGGGCTCCTTGGTTTTTGAGTATTAGAACGAGCAGAAGCTGCAAGAAAATGGCTACTTCCGCAAGCACCGGGGGGGATCCTAGCCCTGCAGCACCCGTGGGAATGTAAGGGGCCCACTGGGAATCACTTTGCAGGCTCAGAGTGTTCTTCATTTGGGTGGATCACTGAAAAAAAAAAATCAGTGTTCACTTAAGACCAGCTGTTTTCAACCTCTTACCGAATAGCCTATAATAAAACTCTTATTTTCTTTCTACAAAAAATGTTCAGACAATCAACTATGAAAGGAGGCTATGGACAACTGCAGCTTGGTGGGCCAATTCCCAATGTGAACATTTGTATTTCCCCAAGCAGAAGGATATAAATAAATAAGGCAAATACAGATGTGAAATAATCCATTCTCTCCCATTGGGTGATCAGGTAAAGCTCCGGATGACGTGTTTTCCTGGGCAGCATGAAAATCCAGCTATCCCATGGCCTCCTCCCCCAAGGGTAGCCAGGGAAGTTTTAGTTCACTGCTGAGTCACTGAGCTGTGTGTGTTGGGGATGCTCTACAGCAAGAGTTTCCAACCTTGGCTGCAAATTGGGATGATCAGCTGGGGAGCTTTAAGAACTATTAACACCTGGTCCCGCCCCCAGGCACTGATTTAATTGTTCTGAAGTGTAGGTTGGGCATGGGGATTTCTCAAAGCTCTCAGGTGACTGAAAAACATCCTGCCAAGGTTGATAAACATAGGTTCGTGGGGGCTGGGTAAAGGTAATCTGATGAGCAAGAATCTGCTGGAAGCCTGGAGGACAGGATCAGGTATTCAGCTAGGCCAGTGGTTCTCAATCCTGTCTGCACACTTAGGTCAAGAGCTTTCTAAAAATCCCATTACCTGGATTCTGGTCATTTAAACTGGGGTAGGATTCAGCAATGGTATTTATAATTTCCCTGCTGATACTTAATATGCAGCGGGAGTCAAAAACCACTGTTGTGGGGCACCGTTAATCTGAATAATGATCTGTTTTTAAAATTTCAGATATATGCACCCAAACTCAGAAAAGCCAATGTATCACCTAGGTATCAATAAATACCAAGACATTTTAAAAATTTAAACTACTGAAAATCATGCACATTTCTATGGAACACTGTAATAATCACAGCTTTATTGCAAACCCCCAGCATATGACACAGATGCAGATCACATACCCAGTTTTACAGAGACCAGAGACTCCATCAGCTCAAAGTGGCAGTGCAAGGAACAGAACTCACGGAGTCAGGAGACACCTAATTCCCTTGCCCATTTATTAAGCCACGTTCCTCTTTGAGGGTTTCCTTTGTGAAAGCATTATAAGCAAAACCTGCCCCAGGATCTTCAGAAAATGTTCAATATGCAAATGTGGATCTATGCACTGGAATGAGAAGAGCAGGCTCTGTCCAGGAGGCCAGATAAACCAGGACCACAGGAGCTCAGTGGAACACTCATGCAAAGGCCAGTACTGGCCTTGTCCCAGACTGGAGGCCCCCAGCAGCCTCTGCCCCCGTTTGTGCTAACACACCTGCCAGCCTTGTGGGAAGGGGGCCCGGTAGCCATGGGGAGGACACATGCACTGACCTGGTTCTTTTCATGGACAGAACAGAAAGCACTGAGGAGGAGCTTAATGATGGACAAGTGATTATAGCGTGCGGCAACGTGCAAACAGGTGTCGCCTGCCTGCGGACAGAAATCAAACTCTGAGCACAATCTGAGCAGTTACCAAATAAATAAATAAAGATTTAAAAACTGGCAGACTAGCATATGTTTTTTAGAGGTTATCAGCCTGAACTGGAAGCATCCCCTTTCCCGTGGACGCCCGACTGCAAGCCCCACAGCTCTGCTGTTCTCTGAGGCTCCACCGGCTTTCTCCAAGCGGACTCTCCGCTTTCAGGTTTCAGATGCTGGGCGCCCGCTCCCCACGAGGGCTTCACTGGAGCTAAGGCAGGCTCTGCTTACCCAGCACTTGCTAGGAACCCACTCACCACAGCTTCTCCTACAGCCCAAAGGCTCTGGAGTATACGGAATTAAGACCAACAGCACTGCTTTGGAAACGAGCCCTCTTCCACCATGGATTTGTCACGGCTCAAAGGTCAGTGCGGCAGGGACAGCCGTCAGATTTTAAGATCACGTGTGTTCTAAAAAAATTCAAGCTGCATCTCATTTTAGTTAGGACCCCAATATCTCAGGCGGGGCGGGGCAGAACAGTCTGCGGAGCTGATGAGGCAATCACTGGCATAAGACAGCGCATTCAGGAAAAAACTCAGGATCAAGATCTTCCTTAGTGGGCAAGGGCTAACCCGCTCCCAGAGAAAACAAAACTGGAGACAAAGTCAGGACACTCTTCGGTGTTTTCTTGATGTTTTCATTCAAACTCTGTCTAGAGATGGCCACTACCCAGCATGACCTTCTCCCCTGGATTAAGAAGGAGCCAGGCTCAAAGCCCAAGTTCAGGGCATTCTGAGACCCATGTTAGAGGAGTCTGCCCTCAGTGAGGGAGACCTCAGTGAAGGCCATTTTTTGAGAGGAGCCCCAGCCAGAGTCTCTAGTCAAGGGATGAGGCACAGGACTTACAAAGGAAACACCGCTGCTTGTGGAGGGAGGGGGCATGCCCACGTGGCCTCCAAAGTCAGGCATCCTCTAAGAACTACTGACCCATCGGCTCATCCCAAGGGCACCTCAGTAACCAATTTGTAGACACAGGCATCAGAGGATCTCCCCTGGACAGCATCGTCTGCCATTTGCTAAGTGCATAACACTACGTGGGCAGAGGTTTCCTGGACTCATTTGCCAGCACATGCTATGAAAAATGTTGAAACAAACCCAGGCTGAGGAGCGAGGGGGAAAGGATGGGAGAAGAGCAGCGTTTGAATCTTTTGAGTCCTCTTCTCCTGCCCCTGGCCGACCCCTTAGGGCGTAGCAAAAAAAAAAAAGTACTTTACAGACAGTCCCCAAACACTTTTCCCATTTTCAGTTTCATTTTCTAGGTGTTAATACTCAAGTATGCTTTCAGGGTTACTTTCCAAGGTGACACAGGAGAGCGCGAGAGAAGCCGGATTTGTTCACCCACATTATTTTTGAGGTCGGCCCGGGACCCGCCCAGCAGGAGGACGCGAGTGCTCTGGGAGTGGCTGTTCTGGCAGGCCAGGTGCAGAGCGGTGTTCCCCGCCTTGGAGAGAGGCAAGAGAAGGGAGGATACGTTAGCAACATGCTTCTCGGCTGACCTGCATGGGGCAGGCTTTGCAGAGGGGTGATAGATACTTGCAAGAAAAAAAAAGTCAATGCTCACATTCTCTGCTCCCTGACTGGTGACCCCAGCAGAGGGGTTTCAGTGGCAAGAACAGTTAATATGGAATCCAGACAGGCTCAGGAGTCCCATCGGCCACAAAGCCTTGGCTCTGCCACTTCCTAGCTGAAAGTCACTGGTCAAGACTCTTAAAATGCTCAGTCTGGAATTCCTTACCTGTAAAATGGAGTGTGACCCCTACTTCCTGAGGCTGTGAGGATTAATTCGGAGTGCCTGCGAGAGAGTATTTACTTAGTGGCAAAATGCCGTGCACGTGCAGTACGTTGCACTCCTTTCGGAAAGGACCGCATCCTTCCCGCCCAACACAGGTAACAGCTGTGGTTACGATACTCCACCACTGGAGTAAAGGCAAAAGAGGCCCCTTCCTGTGAGTGCAGATAACTGAGATTTAACTTGTACGCCTTTGGAAACCTTCCATTCTTGTGTCTTCCTTGAAATATCAAAATTTGAACTATGGACAAGGTACCCACACAGCAGGCAATACGATTACGTCCACCACTTACCATACAGATGGAGACCCTCTTGCTTTTTGGGCTCCACCACCAATATGCCACTTCACAGTGACAACCAAGGGTCAGAATCACGTCCATAGCAATGTTACGGAAAGAATTCATGACATAAACAGAACTTTTTAAAAAAGTGTAGACGGTGCCTGCAAGGCTGCCAATAAAAGTCACAAGAAAAGCAGACAGCACAAGAGGAGATGCGGTGTTAGTCTGAGAGAGCCTAGGAGCAAACAGGAGGTTAAGTCTATAAGCTCAGTGATTGGTGGGCTGAGCTAAAAAGCTGGGTCAGGACTGCAACTGTGTGGGCTCAGAGCTATTTCACTGCCTGCCCACAGCTTTTCCTTGCCCCGGATCTGGATCCCATGGCACTGTCTGCCCATACTCATGGATGTTCTATTTCTCACCTCTTGAAAAGAGGAATGAGTTTTATTTAAAAAAAAAAACCACACAGAGGAAAACTGTATGTCTCTGGTTCACTTAACTCCCCTCTCATACCCTTAGCTCTAAGTAGCCTGGGTAGAATCTTTCTTCCTCACTGCTCCCTCCAAGGAACCTGAAGGTTATAGGCCTGAGCGTTTGGTGAACTCGGGGGTTATCAACCTTCCACTGCACCAAAGAATCACCTGGGGGAGATTTTAAGACTACTGGTGCTCAGCTGCAACCCTTCTAGGGACTCTGATTTACTCAGCCTGGGGGTAGAGTCTGGGCAGTTCAGGTCTCAGCACCAAAAGTCCCAAACTCCGGGAAACCCCTCGGCCCAGTGAAAACCAGGACAGCCTGTCACCTGAGGCCCAGTCACCAGGTGAGTTTGCCGCCCCCCCACTTTTGTTTTTGTTTATAGTTTTCCAGGAGATTTTAAAGCACAAACAAGTAGAGAGCCACTGCTAGCTTAGCTCTCAAAAACGGAGGATCGGCCCACATTTTAAACACTCCGTCCTCTGCAAGGGCTCGGCGCCTGGCTTGGTGTAATTCTTACTGCCCTGGCAGTAGGTTGTCTCAAAGGTGTTGGTTTCGTGGGAGTTATTAGATGTGTTGAATAAATGGGTGAAATAAAAGGAATCTGATGGTTCTGGAACTATACACTAAACATTGCTTTGCTAATAAGAAAGTATCAATTATGCTGAAAAACATTTGGATCGAGAAAATCCAAAACCGTGGATTAGAATACACAAATGATGGTATGTTCATACACTGGACTCTTACTTGGCAATAAAAAGGAATGAACTAATCTCACATGTAACAACATGGGGACTCTCAAAAACATGAAGGGAAAGAAGTTAGGCACAAAATGTTGCATACTCTGATTCCATTTATATGATGTTCTGGGAAAGGCAAAGCAGATCGGTGGTTGCCAGGAGCTGGGAGTGGTGGGTGGGTGGGAGATTTGCACCCAGGGGCACAAAGGAAGTCTCTGGGGCAATGGAAACATTCTATATCTTGATTATGGAGGTGGTTACACAACTGTATACATTTGTCAAAACTCATACAACAATATACCTAAGAAGGCTGAACTTTATTGCATATGGATTATACCTCAGAAGCTGACATTTAGAAAATGTGACCTAGGTAGATATGCGTAGCAGGCATTTTTCCACCCTGAGTAATGAGTACTTATCTCCCAGACAGGGGCTGATATACTCACTAAGTTCTTATACAACAGAATGTTCTTATACAACAGAATATCATCCAACCTCAAAAAAAGAAATTCTATCATTTGTGACATGCATGAGCCTAGAGCACATTATGTTAAATGAAATAAGCCAGACAGAGAAGTAAATACTGTATGGTATCACTTACACGTGGAGGGTGGGGAAAATAGGGAGAGGTTGGTAAAAGGGTACAAAGTTTCAGTTATGAGTATTGTCTAACATAAAACATGGTGACTATAGTTGGTAAATTGTATACAAAGAATAGAACTGAAATGTTTACATCAAAAATTTTTTAGAAAGTGTAAACATGTGAGGTGAGGGGGGTGTTCATTGACCCGACGGGGGGGCAATCCTGTCACAACATATACATATATCAAATCATCACTTTGTACATTTTAAATATCTTACAATTTTATTTGTCAGTTATACCTCAGTAAAGGTGGGGGCAGAGGGGAGGGCCTTTTTAGAGGCTTCGCCAGAGGATGTGGCTGGTGCAGAACGTAGAAGTCCTTTTCTGGGATAGCCCCTACCTTTGCTTCTGACAGTCTCTCCTGTTCTATCTAGAGAGACCTTGTGGCTTTCCACAACACCTTCGGGGCCCCATACAGGATAGGAGGCAGTGTGGTGGAGCAGACGGACTCAGGCTAGTTTATGGCCCTACCTGTCTGTGTGCCTTTGTTGAGACCACTGGCTCCCAGCTCAGGCTTCCCTATCCATTAACTGGGAACCACCTACTTCTCAGAGTTCCAGGATCTAAGATACAACATGGGTCCACCTACAACTCATGTTCCAGACAATATACCACTTTGAAGAAATGAAGTAGCCACCAGTTTGCAGTGACTCAGGCATTACTGGAGATACTACAATGCATGGCTTGCTTCTTTTCTTCCAGCTTTTGTCCCATGAGGGAACCATGAGAAACATTTTTTTTTAAGATTTTATTTATTTATTTGACAGAGAGAGACACAGTGAGAGAGGGAACACAAGCAGAGGGAGTGGGAGAGGGAGAAGCAGGCTTCCTGCTGAGCAGGGAGCCCAATGCGGGGCTCGATCCCAGGACCCTGGCATCATGACCTGAGCCGAAGGCAGACACTTAACGACTGAGCCACCCAGGCGCCCCCATGAGAAACATTTAACCAGTAAATGACAGCACAAAGCTGTGTGGAGTGCCAAGGGAGCTCTGCAGGAAAGAGCCTGATGGGCCTTTGGGGAGGGAGAGGCCACTGCCCTGGGAACCCGGGTTGGATAGGCAGATAGGAGGAGCAGGCTTCCCCAAAGGGAGCGGGCAACGGGAGGGACGATGAGCCCACTCTGGTAGCACACGAGGCACATACTGGGAAAGGCTCAGGGAAGAGGCTGCAGACATAGACTGAGGCCACTCCAGGGAGGCCTAAGACAGCGTCAGGCTGGGGAGCTTTCCTGGAAGGTTTCTGAGCAGAGAAGGAGCAGGATGAAGAAGGGACTAAGCAAGCTGGCCAATCTGCTGTGAGGTTTCTGCAGTAATCCAGAGATGCATTCATTAATAATGAGCACAGAAGGAAGGGGATGAGACATGATGAGTGACTGGAGGGGAGACAGGAAAATGCGGGAAAAGAGGTGCTGCTGGCTTCTCCCCGTCTCCAGGAGGACAGGGCTGCCTGCCGAACCACACCTGGATAAACCAATGGGAAAGCGGTGAGAGCCAGGAGTATTCAGAGGAAGTCAAAGCCACTCTAGTAGGTTCTCTTGCTCACCATGGAGATTATGTTTCATTTCCCCTGGTCCCCCGAGCTCTCGCTTCGCTCAGTAAGGAGGCTCACACAGAACAACAGCCTGCAGCCATCCCCACCTGTGAACGGAGAGTTCTAGCACCTGTTGGGCCTCACCTTGTTCTTGGCAAGCACATTGGCTCCTGCTTTAACGAGCAGTTTGGCTGACTGGCTAAAACCATGCCAGGATGCTTCGTGTAGGGCCGTATTCCCGTCCTGAGGAACACATATGGAGACAGAAAGCACATTACCCAAGACCTAATTCATCTCATTAGAATCGATACATCACAGTATATTTCTAGGGTACGCATCACAGGTCCTTTCTCAAATGGGGCTTCTCATAGGAACCACAGAGCCCAGAAAATGATTTCAGTGGCTAGTTTCTCCATTCTCCCAGAAACGGTACATAACAAGTACCATTTTATTTTATTTTTTTACAATTTTTGGCGGGGAGGGGCAGAGGAAGAGGGGGAGAAAGAATTTTAAGCAAGCTCCACCCCCAGCATGGAGCCCAACTCGGGGCTTGATCCCATGACCTCGAGATCATGACCTGAGCTGAAATCATGTTGGCTGGTTAAACGACTGGGCCACCCAGGCACCCCAGCAAGTACCATTTTAGATTTATGATGTACAATAGATGCCTTAAGGCATTAGTGCTTAAATCTCTCCAGGAACCCCGGTTGAGAAAGGCTCATCCACAGTCACATTTAACAGAAAACAACATTGACATGATGTTCATTCCTTCCCACCTCCATCACCCCTGGGGTCTCCTCTGCTCTGCTCCTGGCCCCAGAGAGAATCCTGCAAAGATCTGGCAAATGAAGAGTCCAGCTTCATAAGCTGCCGGGCCCAAGGGCTGGATAGGCAGATTCCTCCTCTCTTTTTCTTCCCCCAAATTTAATCTCACCCAGTTTAATCCAAAGTCTCAGGGACCAAAACAAATAAGCAGACATTGAGACAACAGTGACTTGTAAAGAAGATAAACAAGTGTCCTCAATATGTGGCTTTTTAAATAAAAACCAACCAATTAACACACACAGCTGGTATTTGCTTAACTTCCTACAATAGAAATATGAAGTGCAGGGAAGTGAGTGGGGTAGGGGTGAGAGGGCTGGGGTTATAGGGAGGGAGAAGCATGCAGAGGAGAGGTGGAGAGACCGCGCGTGTGCTGTTCCAGGTCAGAGCGTGGAGCAGGGCTGGGGGCAGGGCAGGTGCACGGTCCGGGCACGTCCAGGCACTGGCTTTGGCTCTTCTTCGTCCATACCACAAGACTGGCTGAATGGCACCGACATCCATAAGGAGGAGGCTAGGTAGGGTCTGAAAGGCCAGGGAATGGGGTGGTGCTGGGAATGGTAGTGGCCATGTGTGGGCTGGCCTGGGGGACTGACCGCACACAGCAGGAAGCAGAAGGAAAAGTGAATGGATGGGGATGCTTGTGAGGGGGCTTCTGGCATGCTGCTAATGATCTGCTTCTTGATCTGGGGGCTCACAAAGATGTGCTCAGTTAGTGAAAACTCACTGAACTGCATGCTTATAATTTGCACATTTTTCTGTATATATGGGACACTTGAGTTAAAAAGTTGTCTACAAAAGTAAACAGAGGCCGAACTGCACTTAATTACAAAGTTCCCTCTTTTAAGATTAATGATTTAAAAGCAACGATTAATATAAAATATATCATTGGGATTTCTTAAAGAGTTGATTTTGCTCATTTTTTTCCTCCCAATGTATTTCAAATTAATTCTATTTTTTTTTTTTTTTTTAAAGTCAAGTGAGCAAGTTGAGTCCAGGGCACATCCTTTCCCCCATCCAGACCTCCACAGGTCATTATTTCTAGAATTTTTTTCTTTACCATTTATATTTGTGTGGTTGCCCACTGCTGCCACAGAACAGGGGGAAGGATTTTAAAAAATACAATTTGTTGGGATATTAGATACTGTTTCAAAAGAAAGTTGGGCTGATTTTATCCTGTTAAAGCATGAGTGATGGGACTCAGGAATGATAACATTGAACAGTCACAAGCTCCCAAAGCAGGGTCCTCAGGCGGACATGTCCCACGTCACCTTGTCTTGGCGGTCCAGAGCGCAGCCCTCCTGGATGAGCGCCGCGATGACATCCGTGTTCCCCACCACTGAGGCCCGGTGCAAGGCGGTCTGATCCCCCTGCAGAGTGACATGTTGGCAGGAACATCAGTCAGCTCTCCCAGCCCTGCCCTGCACCACTCACTGCGCTACTCTGACACAGGGACATCTCCTGTCCTCAATCGGAGCAGACCGGCCACCATGCCAGGCAGAGCTCTTTTGTTCCCAAACTCAGTAGGAACCTTAGACCGACCACAGAACGACTTCAGAGCTGACATCAGAATGAGGGTCAGGCACTCACCTGCCGCCTCAAGGAATGGCAGTGTTCAGAGATTATGACTGTCACATCTGGAAAGTGGGTCTGAGAGCTAGACTGTGTGTGCTATGCAGTTAAACCATCGATCTTTACTCCCTCCTGAGTCCTCTAGTTGCCTGCTCTCTTTCAGAGGAATCACTATCCGGCTAAGTCAGCTAGCAACACTCACGATTTGATGACAGGTGTGTATTTGTTGATTGACTTATATGGGCTGAGGGCAATGTAGAGATTTATGCCATGTCATCTGAGGACTCCAGGGACTATCACTGCATAAGTCTGTGAAGCCTATTCTGATATTTCATGACAGCATCCTCACTGATTTATACTGCATTTTCTTTATGATCAGATGCTGGGGATTGCTGATCTTCTCCTCCATCAGGGCACCAAAGGGAACTTGACTCTTTCCCCTAGCTGCAATTGAGAGAAAGTAAGATGGTCAAGATAAGAGAGAGTTCTGAAGTCTCTAAGAGCACATCTCATCTCTGACATGTACTCAGGAAATCAAGTCGAAACAAATTAAGTCTAGCCTGGGGTCCAAACTGAAATGGGGAGATAGGTGAACAGTGTGGAAAACTTCTGGTAGGAAGGGAGAGGTGCAGGGCAAGGGGGACAGGAGATATGAATCTTGCACAGTTTTGGGAGACACCTGTCATTTCATTGGGCCTCAGTTTCTTTACCTGTAAAGGAGGAGTGGATGCTCCCTAAGTTCTGTCCCTTCCCTTCTTGGGTTCTATGATTTGGTTGGTAAGAGTTCTGCATAAAAATGTTCTGGTGGAGCACCAGAGGGGCAAAGGACACACCCTGGGGCATCCCTCATCTTTAGCCCAAGAGAGGAAAGAGAGACTATTATAAGACAAAAAATATGGAGATTTTTTTAAGGGGGATACACTGCTACCTATGAATCGCCTTAATGAAGTACTGATTCTACTTACTAAACACCCTGGAATCTAGAACAAACAACAATGCACATTAAAATCACTTAATCCAAACAGAAATTCTGGAGATGGATGGTCATAATGGTTGTTCAGCAATGCAAATGTACTTAATGCCACTAAACTGTACAGTGAAAAATGGTTAAAAGGGTAAATTTTATGTTATATGCATTTTATCACAATAAAACACTTAATGCTATTTAAAACTCAAATTCACTTTCTTAAAGCTAAAAAACTCCCTTTAAAAGTCCATGAGGGGAAGTGATTTTCATTTTCTTCCTTATACTTTTAAATAGTTTCCTACTTTTTATATTTAACAAATATAATTTTAGCCACAGGAAAAACTGCTATTTATTAAAAGTCTAAGCTGTAACAATATACCAATAATGGGATTGTCCACGTCTCAGAATCTTTTCTCACTGTTCATGTGTAGAATGTAAGGGATTTCCACAGTGATGGGTCAGCACATCCAGCTCCAGTATTATAACTGATTCACTGCCCATAGCATTTCTATCATGAACCCTCCCCATTGGCATCATAAGCCATTATTCCCATTAGACATTAGGTTTAGACTGGGTTTTCTTCTTGTCCACCTTCCCAGAGACCCCTTACTCAAAGAGAACCCTTTCTGCACATCTGCAGTCACAAGAGGTTCCTTCCTCTTGTGGCCACTGGATGCGGGGTGCAGGAGGCACGTCAAGCCATTACACATTCATCTCAAACATCCTAGGAAGTGTTTCCAGATGATATACACTATGCCCAAACAAGTCATCCTTTGAGAAACTGCCCAAGTCTTTTTTTTTTAATATTTTATTTATTTATTCATGAGAGACAGACGGAGAGAGAGAGGGAGAGAAGCAGGCTCCCAAAGAGCAGGGAGCCCAATGCGGGACTCAATCCCAGGATCCCAGGATCATGACCTGAGCCGAAGGCAGACGCTTAACCATCTGAGCCACCCAGGCACCCGAGAAACTGCCCAAGTCTTAACTTTTAAAAATTTCGATAAGAATTCCCACGATTGCCATTTCCCCATCAGAATGGTGACAGGTTTTCCCAAAATGGGCCTGAAGTGCAATTTATGACCTGATGTGAAAGATGGCGCTCTGGTCTCGGCAAGAAGGGGAGACTGCAGCTCATTCTCTAGGGGTAAATACTGATGGGGCTTTAATTCCCACAGACTGCCAGCACTCAGATCAGCACTCCTTGGACTGATGATAACAACCTTGACACAGAACAGAACTTAACCATTCGATCTGTGTCGTGCACAAAGCCTGGAACTCATGGGTCGTGTCGGTCACTCTTCTGAGTCTTTGCACGAGGGGCCTTGCTGGGTAGAGCACAATCTAGCCTAAGCCGTGCTGCAGGTCAAGTGTTTTTATCATGTTTCACAAGCTACCCCTAAATCACGAGTTCAAGCAGCTTTGGAGCCAGAACATCACTATTATTTATTACTTGCTCTCGGCATGAATCATCTGTTTTTGCTTCCCTACAGAGGTCTTTTCCTTTGTGAAACTCTAGCTCAACGAAAGAAGTTAAATCTAACTTTTGGTTTAGCCTTTAAAAGTCAATTTCCAGACGGATTAACAAGACTCAAGGAGATCTAACAACTTGGTGAGACTACAGTGAGAACACAAACTGTCCCAAGCCACTGGGACAGGTGTCTCTTGCAGAGACCTTTTAGAGGCACTGCCTGTCTCCAGACCACCACTTCCCCTCCATCTTCACTGCCCTCAGAGGCCTCACTCCGAGCCTGGGTCCTGGCCTCATCAGATGAACACTGCTGAGAAGGCCAACATCAGCCTTTCCCCACTGCAAGTGGCTGTCCTTGAGCCGTGCCATTAGCTTTGTGAACACTGAATGGGACAGTTCTGGAGGACTGAGGAAGACAATTTCTCTGGCTTATAAACACCAGCCACTCCAAAGTTACCAAGATGAGAGTTGAAGGCCACTCAAAGAGACATGAAACACATAAGCAAAGGGCCAGCCTGGGCTATCTATCTCAGGGCTACTCTTCCCCAGAACACAACCCAATCGAGCACCCGAGACCCTCAACTGAAACAGGGCCAGTTACCTGGGAATCAACTTTCCTCCTATAAAATGTACCTTGGAAACATTTCCTCTTTTTTTTTTTTAATATTTTATTTATTTGACAGAGAGTGAGAGAGCACAAGTAGGCAGAGAGGCAGGCAGAGGGAGAGTGAGAAGCAGGCTCCCCGCTGAGCAGGGAGCCTAACGTGGGGCTCAATCCCAGGACTCTGGGATCATGACCTGAGCTGAAGGCAGACACCCAACCAACTGAGCACCCAGGTGCCCCGAAACATTTCCTCTTTGAAATAGGACATAGAAAACAATAAAATGTGTCCTCAATACATACTTATTAGCAGACCCAGGCAGCAACTTTGACATAATCCTTATTTCTATATTATCTAAATACACCATGAAATTCTGAAACTTTGAAAAAAGAATGCTGCAAAAGGTATGACACTCTTAACAGCATTCGATAGTTGTTTGTTCAGTAAATATTGACCCTCTACTATACTCCAAGTGGCATCTAATTCTCATTTTATTGATTAAAAAACAACAACAACAACTAAGGCTCAGTGCTGTTCAGTGCCTAGCTCAAGATAACCAGCTAATTCGGGGTAGTGTGGTTAGGCCCAAATTCAAACTGTCAAGGCTCTTTGCACTTAACACCAAGCTGTTTCCACCCCGTGAAATCAATGAACCTTAGTCTGGCAGGCCTTAAAAAAGATCAGCTGCCTCTTGATGGCATCCCCTAGCTGAGTGCTTTAGCACAATGCCATGGCCACTACAGGCACCCAAGAAATATTTGTGGAATGATTAACTACAAAGATGCAAAAGGAAAAACACTGCAGCTGGAAACACGGAGAGCCAGACACCTTGCAGTTTGGCACTTTGGTTTGGAACATGCTGACCTGTTTGCAAAGTGCATGAACTGCCAATCTCTCAATTTTTCTGACTTCAGTGTTTCTCACGTATGGAATCTAAGGAGTTTGGAACCTCTGAGGTCTCCATCTTTGTTGTGAAATACTTTTAGTGTTCTCTCCTACATGGTGAGAAAGGGTGGGCACAATGCACACAGATGCCGAAGCTAAGCTCATGGAAGAAACCCGAGTCCCGCCAAGGCGGAACACGTCCCTCTTCAGGAGGAATCTCTCCCAGGTGGCACAGACAGATATGTTGCAAGGAAGCCCAGAATGGCGCAGGTGTGCAAAGCAAGTTGCTGACCTCTTTTTCTCTCTCTGATCTTCTAGGGTTCTTGCTAGCCTCTCTTCTCTGGTTTTTCTTATTTTTTTCCTCCTTCGTGGCTTTTATCATGGCCACGGGGTCCTGGACTATTTCTGAGGTGGGGGCTGTGTGGTTGCTCATGGACCAATCAGAGATGGCATCAGAGGTCCAATGTGAGTTGACAGGATTGGCCGGAAGCAAGCGGGAATTTTCTCTTGGAGTTGCATATTCTAAAGAACTGGTTTCCACAGGCTGAAATTCATAATAATCCCATTCCAGGCCACTGGAGGTCATTCTTCAACTAATTCTCAGTCCTTACCATGACATAAGGTATGTATCTGTAGAATATGAAGTTAGGAGTAAATTCTTCACAACATTAACATTCTCAATTTCTACCCATCATCCAAGACAGGTAACTTCTAAACTGATTTTTTTCCAATAATTAACGTCCCAGCTTCTTTAAAAAAAAAAACACCCATAGTTTTCTTCTTCGAATTCTTGCATAAATTTCAAAGCTGATCACCAACAGGCACAATAAATATGTAGAAGAGAGACATGAACAATATTCTGGCAAATGCATTGCTTCAGAACTAGTGAAGATCAGTTCTACCTTCTCCTTTCTCAACCATTTTTACACTGTTTTGTTGCTGTGTTTTTGTTTTGTTTTTGTCTTGATTTAAGCTATCAGGAAGAAGCAATGTACACACTGTCTGATTAGGGCAGGGAAAAGATGCAAGAAAATACATTATTCCAATAAATGAAATGAAGGTGTTCCTGTCTGAAAGTAGCGCTGAATTTCCTTCAGCTGACATGTCTCCCCTTGGCTACCTTGTGAAAACTCCTATTTTACTTCCTACCTTGCCTGATATAAACTTCTAGGAAGTTAGCATGGCTTTTGCTGTATGAGAACACAGTGATTCTCGGAGCTCAAAACCGGAGGCAGGAGTTGGGTAGGAATGCGTTAACATGCCTGGCATGGCAGTCTTGCCAGAATGGCCAGTGAGGACTCTAATTAGGCAAAGAGAAGACCAGATGCATCCCAACATGTCTGTACGAGAAACCCAATGCTCTGCCTTTTCTGTGGTCAGATTCTCTTCTCTTTCTCCTTGTATGTTCATTCCTGTCATCTAAGGAGATGATATATAATCAGGAATGTTATGATAGTTAAGAGTGTGGGGAAAAAAATATTATGACCAAAGGTAGAAATCAACAGCTAAAAGCTAAACCAGCATCTTTTGAAAGTAACATTTTTGATGACCCAACAGGTTCCAAATATAACCAGAGATTTATGAATGATACTGGACAGCCTTCTGCCTGTACATAAAGCAATGACATTTAGCTATTTCTTTACAAATGCTGTCCATCTCACTTGTGTGTCTGCCAAGTTTTAGAACATTACACAAACGACTAAAGAAAATTAGAAGCACTTCGGTAACCTACACCCTAGCACACCTGAGGGTCTGAAATTTGATTAACACTCTGTAACCACAGTTATTAAAGGAGAGTCAGGAAGAGATTATGGTTAAGTGCAAATTCTACAAGATTTTGTGTTCCTCACAAAATTTCTTATTTCTTAGAGTCCTACCACACAAATTAGAGTTGAAATTAGAAACAGTTTCTGAAAATAGCTTCCAATCACATTATCATAGGACTTTTTCCTAATAACTAATTGGAGGACAATTTACATAATCTTATCTATATCCTCCTCTTAGAGAATTTACTTCCCCAAAGACCCAAGGCAACTCTGTGCGCTACATGACATCATCCCAGCCACTGCTGATTGACTCAGAAATGGATACTTGACTCCAAAGAAGGAGCCAATCAGAGTCTTTCTCTAGATGATCTGAATGAAGAGACTCAGAGACTGAGTCTTAATAAAGGCACAGCACCAGAGGGAACTCTTTCAAGACTTCCTTTTTCTTGGATTCTATGATATCAGTTTTTTCTTTTGGACAGGTCCTCTTTAACTAAATGTACACTAAGAGAAATCAAGGTGAGAAGAGGAAAAAATTAAGTTTTTCAGCCCTATTTTTTTTCTAATGGTAAGCTTGGTCAATGACACATTTCCAACAGGCCTTGCCCACACTTGGGTGTGTGTGTATGTCGTGTGCTCCTTCACACTGAGACAGGACATAGGCAAAATACCCTTTGAGGCTCTACACTTGGATGATACTAGATAGGACATGAACCATGATGGGAAAACCACCCCACCCTTGCAAACTCTAGCTTGGTACCTAGAATGGATCCCAGGTCTTCAAGAGGAAGTTCTTCCCACCATGGGGACCAAGATGAAGCTAAAAAGTGCTGGGAGTGCATCTTCTACCCTCCCACATTATAGCAGGCTATACACTGTACTCTGGATTTCTAGGCAGACAAGCTCCCCTAACAACCCATCCCAATAGAATGTGGCTTCTACTCACATCATCCTGGACATCAAGGTCACAGCCAGCCTTCAGCAAGATCTGGACCACAGAAAGATGACCCTTATTGGCAGCAAGATGAAGGGGGGTCCGGCCATGCTGTTAATGCAAAGCAAACACTTATTTCAGAATAGGACATCAAAACCACTGCTCTGGGGACGCCTGGGTGGCTGTCAGTTGAGCTCCTGACTCTTGGTGTCGGCTCAGATCATGATCTCAGGGTCGTGGGATTGGGCCCACGTCAGGCTCTGTGCTCAGCATCGAGTCTGTTTGAGATTCTCTCCCTTTCCCTCTGCCCCTTCCCTGCTCATGCACACACACACTCTCTCTCTCTAAACAAATAAATAAATCTTAAAAAAAAAAATAACCACTGCTCTGGAGGTGGTGGGGGCCTAGAGCAAGGTTTACATAGTGGAAGCCCCCTTCCCCTTCAGTTTGACAGGAGATTCTTATATATTTACTCAGAATTCAAGTTTGTCTCAGTTAACCTTTGTTATTGGCATTGTGATAAATGAATAAAATATGCTAAAAATGTGAAGATTTCCTTCAGTGCATAATTTCTACTCCCCACTCAACAAACAAGTAGGAATATGAGGGGTTTCATGTTTTCTCTTATTTTCCCCCCGGTGCTAATACTCAAGCATGATGGAATGGTCACAATGAATTGGTATAGGGCAAAAGATAGGAGAACAGTAAGAGGTCAAGCTAATCAGCTCAGAAAAATCTGGTTAGTAATTATTAAAAATTGAAACTACTGGTCGAACAGTTTTGAATAGGTTCTCCCTTTTTTACTCACTGATTTTTTATTTATTTATTTTAGTTCTCCCTTTTTTAAAACAAATTTTAAAATTACAACATATTTCAGCCATTCAAAAATATGAATAATATTTTAAATGTACATACCCACCAATCACTTTAAAACACCATAGATGTTCCTTGTGAACCCCTCCTAGATTTCATTTCCCTCCAGCTCCAGAGATAACCATTCTTAAATTTGGTATTCTTCATTCTTTTGCCATTTATTATATTTCACTATGCATTTATTGCTATAAATAATAACTAAACATTGTTTTGCTTACTCTAGAGCCTTACATAAATAGTATTAAACTTTTTATCACTTGGCAATTTTTTTGTCCAATGTTATATTTTTTATAGATTTTTTTTTCATATTGTCACATGTAGTTTCGGTTCATGTATTCGTTATTCACACATTCTCTACTGATGGGCATCCAGGTTCTTTTCAGTGGTTTGCAGAACACATTTGTGTGCACATGTCCCTGTGCATTTGAGGGGGACTTCGTAGCCCTACTGTTGGATCACAGAGATGACCATCCTTCAACAGCCCTAACTAATACACAGTCTCCTGAGGTTATGACACGGGAGTAACACCCAGAATTACTCTCTTCGGTATAAATCAACTATCCAGAGAACTGACCTTGCCAAACTCCAAATTCCTCAAATTCTAAAGGAGACATTATGTTCCCTTTGCTTTCTCACTCAAGTTCACTGTGAAGAAATGTTCTCTCTCCTGCTTCAAAAATCATTTAGCCATCGCTCCCACCCATGTTGAAACACACCCTCCGCATCTCATATGGGTCTCTTATTAAGGGGATAATAGTCTCTTACGTCCTTCTAGCACCTCAATAAAACTTTCCAAAGAGCTTTATTGATATTCTAGCAGGATACACCCATTTATGATCTCCATAAAGTGTCAGTTTGCCATGGGTACCTAGCCGTGGAGGAAAACAGAGATAGCAGACAATAAAGGATCTTAATTTCTACCCATGAAATGCAATCAAAGCACTAGAATGATTCTGTAAAAAAGAGGTCAGAGCTGACTTTAAAATTAGAATTCTTAATTAAGAAAAATGTTACTCCCAAGAAAGTGGGCTATAAAAACTCTTCCTAAAAAGGTAATGTCTAAGAGAAGATGGAGTGACCTTCCTTGGCTAGCAATTGTCTCAGTGCACACTGCTTAACCTTCATTCTTTCAGTGAAAGGTCCACAGCCGATCAGATGGAGCCAACTAAGCGGGTTCCGCTCCCTGGGCCTGGTCCCAGGCTCCGTCTGTCATCACGTGTCCTTGTTGAGGACATCAGATAATCACCTTCACCAAGGTTCTAAGGCATTATGAAACACAGGGAAGTTCGTCATGTTTGTGAGGAGACAGATGCGTGTGCTTTTAGGAAGGCTGACAGGATGGTGGGACCCAAGTGCTTCTGAGCAACTGGAAAATATAAACCCTGATGGGGAGAAGTCACTGGAGAGAGCCTGGAAGGAGGACAAAGGACAAGGAGTCTCCGGGTGTCAGGTCAGGGGAGCCCAAGGAACATCCTCCTCAGCAACCAGATATGCCTGGTTGGACGTGGACGCCCAAGGAGGCAAACGGGTTTGCCCAAATGAACACAAATAATCAGAAGGCAGAAGGAAATGCTGCTGTGGTTCAAACGAGGTCACACCCGGGAGGGTGCTTTAGAAACCATAAATTACTGACAAGATGGGCCTGGACTAGAGGCACCTTCCCAATCCAAAGTCAGCAGAAAATCCCCTCTGTGGCGAAAGGGCAGGCTGGAGGCACTGGCGCCTGACAAGCCCAGTTCAAGTCCCGGCTCTGACTAATAACAACAGTGTGACTTTGTGCACAACACTCTCCTAAGCCCATTTTCTCACCTATAAAAGAGGAATAGCCGCCACTATCCACCCCATAAAAGCTTGAAATAGGATAAATGAGGTAATATCCACCATCTAAGATGGGTTTTCCTTCCCTCCAGCTGTCCTCAGCCCTCACCCCTGAAGATACCCCAACTGTTCCCTCTCTTCTTTGACACCCCTGCTCCTTTGCCTTAGCACAGACCAGTGGCATATTTTCAATGGCAAACAGACCTGGGTGAAGGGCTGGAAATCAGATCACTTGGATAGCCGGATGGGCTCCAGCTGAAGGGTCAAGGTTCCTACTGGCCAGTCCTTTTTTTTTTTTAAGGGGGGGCGGGCAGAGGGAGAGGGAGAAAGAGAATCTTAAGCACGCTCCATACTCAGCGCCACACTCAGCACGGAGCCTGACATAGAGCTCGATCTCATGACCCTGAGTTCATGACCTGAGCTGAAATCAAGAGTTGGACACATAACTGACTGAGTCACCCACGCGCCCCTCCTGCCAGTCAGTTTTGATCCACTTGTCCACTTCCATTTTGAAATATAGCCCATGGTTTCCAGTTTCTGCATCTCTGCTGGATGGCATTCTTCCAGGGAATGCCCTTCTCCGAACTACGCCTTCTCTGATTCCCCAAGAAGCATTCCCTGGCTTGTCTTCTCCGTTCCCACAGCACCTGAGCTTCCTCTTAGGAAACCACCACATTCTGTTTTAAGTGTCACCCTGGGCCCTGGCTTTTCCTTCCAACTGGGCCATAATCTGCCTGAGGGCAGGATTGTGCCTTCCACGAATGATGAAGCAAGTTGACTCTGGGGTGGAATGGGGCCATGTCAAAGAGGTGCCAGTGTTCCTCAACCATAGGCGGACTGAGGCTACCAGGGACACAGGAGCAAATTCCAATTCCAGGCTTGACCTCAGAGAAATGGAGAGTCTAGGGGTCGCTGCAGATTCCAGGTTTTGGGATGTCCCAGCCCCTCGGAGGAAGTGTATACATCTAGGAGCTGCATAAGTATTGAAGCAGGTGCAACAGTGACATGGAGAAGGCTGCAATCCCTAAGTGTGAGGGGGCAAATAATAACTGACCCTAAGAGGAGTCTCTGAATGACTTAAGACTCCAGGATGCAACTGCTCTCATCTTCCTGCCTGTAGGACTGGCCAATGAAAGAAATGGGAAAAGGAGAAAAGACTGTGAACTATGAATGATAAGTGGAAGAAATTTTTGAAGCATCCATTTGTCCTGGGACCTCCCCCAGTTCAATGACTAGTTCAAGTTAACTCAACTCAACCCGGGCTCTGGAGGGCTCAGGGAGACCACTAATAAGGACAAGAGGAAGAAACAGCTGCAGCTAACATTTATGGGATACTTACTATGTGATATCTTAAGAATTTTACATGTATTAGCTCATTCAATCCTCCCCACAACCCTATGAGGTAGGCACTATTTTTAAGATGAGGAATTTCCATTTTACAGATGACAAAACTGAGGCATGGAGGGACCCTGTCACTTTTTCTGTGTCATAAAGCAAGTAATTTGAGCCTAAGCCCCTAAGCCAACTGATTCTGGCCCCCACGTTCTGACCCACCATTCTACCTGCTGCCCCCTTTCTGGCGGTGGTGGGGAGCTCTCTCCTGGCAGAGGGGTTTCATCTCTCACTGTTAGGAAGCTCCCAAGACTCCCAGATGATGACCTATGGAAATAACCTGGTTTCCTTAGAATCTCAAGGACAAGGATAGAGGTTTTTTCTATTCTCACCATACGTCGAATCACTTGGGCAGGTTGGTCTGTTTGTCCGTCCACCTATATTGACGCTTGAGCCCCTTCACCAGAGTTTCTGACTCCACTCTCTGTTGTGGGGCCCAGGCATCTGTGGTTATACACCCTCCCTGAGTGATTCTAATGAGTGACCCAGGCTGAGAACTATAGGACGAGATGAAGAGGGGCCAGGATAATCCTCTCCAGGGAAGCTATAGGCCCTCAGGCGGAACCTGCCATGTCGGGCCTGTCCAAGCAGGAGTCATTCCTCTAGCTACATTCTTCGTGATGCTCTCAACCCCACCTGTCAGGATAAAACACTAAAATACTGCACCACCACAGCCCAGAGTTTCTGCTTCTTAAAAGAGTATGTGAGCAATATAATGACATTACTAAAAATCTGGAAAATAAAAAATCTGTAATTCTACCACCCAACAAAACTATTATCATTTATTTATGAGAGAGAGAGAGAGAGCTCTCAAGCACGGAGGGGAGGGGAGGGGAGGGGAGGAGGAGAGGGGAGGGGCAGCGGGACAGAGAGGAAGAGGGAAAGAATCCCAAGCATGCTCCACATTGAGCAGGGAGCCCAGCGAAGGGTGCAATCTCACGAGCCTGAGATCGTGACCTGAGCCAAAACCAAGAGCTGGATGCTTAACCGACTGAGCCACCCAGGTGCCCCACAACTATTATCATTTT